ATGCCCACGCCCAGGGGAATTTGACGATCGTTTTCGCCCGCACAGTGGGGGAATTTGACCAATTTTTTTTAAAAGTCAAATTCCCAGGGGTTCGCCAGGGGGGGGGTATGATCGCAGTTGGAATTGACTGATGCATTATACATGCATTTTGAAACTCTTCACTAATTTACATCTTTCAAAAGTAGAATTGCATTGCAAAAATTGTGTCGTGTAACACCGTCACGGCCTTTAAACAGCTTGTAATATAAACAATATCCAAATACACAAATATCCTTTATATGGTTATGCTGTTGTTGGATTTCAAAATACTTTAGAATAGTGTGCTACCATGCTCATATTACATTGATTTGAACTGCAAAGCTATATGATACATGTCTTGTAGTCTTGTGACGTTTCTAACTCTTGTCGTGATGCCCAAATCTTTTAAACGGATTTGAAGCTCTGTGGCAGTAAGAGCAGATTGGTCTTCGACATCTTCTGCCTGGGCAGTTTGATTACAAATTTGTGCACGTTTGCTTCGACTTTCCCGGATTGTTGTCGACCAGTACTCCTCTGCTTTTTTCTTATACGGTCTTGGTGTCCTTCGTACATTGCTCAAAAGCCTTAATCTTTCCTCAGCCAACAGGACATCTTTCGCGGCATCCCATTTATTAGACTTTTCTAACTGAACTCTTCTACAATCGTCGTTAAGTTTTTCGACACCTATTGATAACAAAACTATAGTCACATTTTTTTGTGGGAAACACAGCTTAAGATGATAATATAATCACTTATAATATGTACAGACAATACATTTACTGTACCTTGTCCAGAAAAATGTCGAATGCCTTGATGAATCCTCATGAATTTTGGTGCATGATAAACCATCGCATGCATGTAAGGCGTGATGTTTGTTTTGCCATAGCTTTCCAGTCAAGGATAAGAACAGTGTAATCCAAGCTTGTGCCTGGCTATTATTAAAAATGAATATTAGATTGCTGGATATTAATTAAAGTTGAAGGATGCTCTAAATAACGAAAGTTTTAACTACTTTAACCCTTAACCTTCAATGCACCCCAGTGTGCTCTACTTATTTTTTTACAAATGCTAGATGAGTTTACTTGTCAATGGGGAAGCTCTGGGGCTGAATGGGTAAACCCAACCCATTAAGCCTCAATGTGCCCCAGTTCGCCCTGCCTATTTTTTCTTTGACTTGACTTGTCAATGCTCTGAAGATTATTGGTTAAAAATGTAAATTGAAGGTAACTACTCACCAATGCATACACGCACTGTACCTGCCAACCTACTAATGCCTACCTATCTAACTAGACCTGATATAGCTACCTTAGCAAAATAAATATCGACATCTGCATCTGTCAAATTCTGCCTCTGTATATAATCCTTGTAGAGATGGTTAAAATCCTATTGAATAATATACATTAAAAACTAATTAATAATTCAGGAAGAAATTTCAAAAGAAATGCATGTTTCACCAGTGTCTTTATATGTGATAAAGAACTGCTTAAAATGCAATGTTTAATTTCTCAGCGAGTAGAAATTTGTTTTTGAGAACAATTTCGGCAGTGCCCTGATCTAACTCAGATGCTTTTAAGCCATTTACAAAACTTGTAGTTTGTGCTTTATTCACACTCCGTTACGCGTCGTGTGTTATATGTCAAAAAGTGCTCCTGCTCGTTGATGCAGAATGAGATGCAATGCACTCCAATGTGCTGTACAAATTTTTCCTACTCTTGCTCTAATGCTGGGTAATATACCTCCCCTGAAGACTAAACTTATGGCAAAATACAATCTTGGACAAAAGTAGCTATAACCCCCCCCCCCCCCGCATTCAATGTAGCCACAGGAAATCTCAAAACAACATCTGTTGCAACATTGAAATTGGAGTGGGATGTTTGAACAGTTTTGTCCAAGATTTTAGTTGATTGGTCATTATGACAATTTCACCCAATAGTTAAATGACAAGAACTAAAATAAAAAAAAAAACATTTAGTATTGATAGCTACCTTCCAAATCTTAATAACGACAGAGCTGGTTGAATTACCGATAACACCATCTAACTTCATGGGTAATTTTTCCAATAGAATTTTCCGATCGGTTCCCATTAGGCTGGTGAAGTCGTAAACTCCACTCCCTCTACCATCAGCATCAAGTTTTTCCCACACGGAAAATGAGACTCCACAACTTCGAATAGTATCAACTAGGTTTTGAAGATTTAGTGACTGCCTATCACGTGGTGCTTTGTTAAGATTTTCTTTGTAATCCCTCTGCAAAGCTTCTTTCACCAAATTATCTAAAAGCTTGTCTGTGAAGATGAATAGTAAAACCGTAGTGAATGGAGCATGGTGGTTTGGAAAATCATTAGAATATCAATATAATTCATTATCCATGTTAGTCAAACTTTATTCATAAATCTGGTCCTTCACCATCACATGTGTATTGTATTCTTACCAAATCCAGCAATAACAATTTTCAATTTACCGCCTATTGTTCGAGTCACGGATAGGTAATTAACTTTCTTAATACATCGCCATTGGTTAGTTGGGCAAAAATACAACACACACGTGACGGTGAAGGACCAGATTTATAAAAAAAGTTTGACTAACACAGATAATGAGTTATATTGTTATTCCAATTATGAGTTTCCAAACCATCTCGCTCCATTAACTATGGTAAAACATTCTGCTAGATGCTTGAATTTAAGCTTCGGTACACAAGGGGATATGTTGCGGGGGCAAATTTCATTGACATTGTGCTTCCTATGCACAAAACTTGCTGCATGGATAATTTTTTTGTTCCCGGTTCATCTCCCATGTAATTAAATTGCATGCTATACCATAATTTTAAACAGTTTAAATCGTACCTGTAATTCGCAACATCAAATGGAGCTCATCCAGGATAATGTTCTCTACAGGAATATTGAGAAGAGGAGGCCTTTCACAGGAATATTCATGTTTCAAGCAGCACGCTCTGATGTCATCCAAAGTCCGTCGAATGTTCTCTTCAGTCCCAATAAAAATTTTCAGGCTTTGCCATATCATATCTGTTAGGTAAAGGAGAACACATGCATGAATAATTAACATTTTATATGGGGCGGGGGGGGCACAGGTTTCTGGTTGCCAGGAATTGACTGTAGTCCTAGTACAGCTACTCCTACATTTAGTATATATACATAGCTTAATAGCTTCAAAATCTTGCACCAAATACAAGCATAATCAGATGTTGCTCCCTTCATGCCGAGCAACAGCAACAGGAACTGTGTGTACAAAAAAAGAAAGTTTGTTAACAAAATAATAACGTAAAAAACAATGCCTCCGTGCGTTTGCTCAAAGTACCTTGTAATCTGAACCGAGAAACATCTCTACAGGTACATGTTTCTCATTAATATCCACAAAGCCCATGTCAACAATCTTGTTCACATCATCAAAAATCCTTGCACAGGATTCCTTCAAAATATCGTAGGATTCTTTCCCCTTGATAACTGCAACCGTGTGATTTTCTGGAATGATCAAGGGAAGTATAATTGGTTGCTTTATAATAACCAGATATCACAACAAGCCACATAATAAAATAAGATGAATTAGCCCATTAAGCCGCATAGCTCCCCACTGACGAGTAAAATCGTCTGCTGTTGGACAAGTAAAAAAATAAGTAGGGTGCACTGGGGTGCATTGCCACTTAATGGGTTAAACTCTCACCTTTGGAAGATAGTACAGCTTCACCTTCATTCAGTATCGAGAATGAAAGTATTATGAACCCTGTGATCCTGGACATTTTGGCACCGTCACCACTCAATTTGATTTTGTATTTTGTTGGTATATCTTTCCCTTCAAGCACACACTTGTTCATCTGCAAATATCAAATGTTGTATATATACTTGTAACTGAAAATACAGCTGTACAGTAAACTAGCTATCAAAGTACTGAACACTAATAGACTTTTTTAGTAATTATGTACAGTACATTGAAGATGATTTCTTGGCCTGTGAGGGAGCCTTGTCAAACATTCATGAAAGTCAATGCATCCTTAGTCAAATATTAAGCATTTGTAGAATATATAATTTTTTGAAAGGGTCTATCATAAATTAAAACTGCATTTATTTTGGTACTACAGGGTGCATAAAAAAGTAGACATTTTTTAAATTGATCTCAATTTTCTAAAATAGCTCCAAAATCCTAAAGTTCAATTTTCAGAGTCGAGACAGTGTTTTTCTCAACAGATTGAAATTGGCTTGTGCACAAAATTTAAACGCCTCAAAGTTATTTTGAGTTATTAGATGGAAAATCTCTTTCAATTGGTTTTATATTGCTGCTCAGGGTGGCAATACAAATTTGAAATCACTATATACATTACCATTATCATTTTTTAGAAATTGATTGTTTTCACCGAGTCTATAAACTCGAACAATTTCCATTGTCACCCCAGGGATGTTGGTCTGGCTATGCCACTGACCTTCGGTCACCTCTCTAGGGCCAGTATCTTTATTTGTCTTCATAAAAGGGGGGGGGGGTGATATTCCTTAAAGTGGAGGAAATTTCCTAAGAATAACATCCTCCTGGCAGGTGAACACTGTGGGCCATATTTAGTTCAGACATGTAATAGCAAAAGTATATGCAAGAACTACATATACTGTTTAAGAGAATAAACGTATTAACACTAGCAATTGGCAAAACGGGCCTGGCTTGCCGTGGGGGAAAAATTATGGCAGTTGGGATTTTCTAGGAAGCCAGGGCACTCTGTGTGCTTAATATATACTTACATGGTTCTGGATTTCTCTACATAGCACATCTTTGAAGTTAAGTTGTGCACATTCAGCAACACCAGATGTTCGTTCTATATGCGTCAGTTTATTAGGCGACTCCTTACATTGCTTGATTAGATAAGATCTTGGCAATTGTTCTCCAGCTGGTGTCATGCTCAGCTCGTGATAAGTAGCCTCATCTATAATGCTTGTATGTTACTCTGAGTGTATTACCACACCGGGCAAGCACAAAAAATGTGCTTGACCACGGTGGGTTTCGAACCTACGACCTTTGGAATACTAGCCCAATGCTCTACCAACTGAGCTACGCGGTCACAGCGGTTCGAGGAAGTGATATTTCGGAACAGGATCTAGTTCCTTCTATACCATTGTAATCTTGTATATGACAATTTTTCTATGATGGTGCGATGTACTCAGGTGAATACAGTATATAATGTTTGTATGTTACTCTGGGCTATAGTATTCCAAAGGTCGTAGGTTCGAAACCCACTGTGGTCAGGCACATTTTTCGTGCTTGCCCGGTGTGGTAATACACTCAGAGTAACATACAAGCAATATATATTCACCTGAGTACATCTCACCATATAGAGAAAAATAGACTCACCTATACAAAACTGATCAACAACAAGCAAGACTTGCTTGATTTTATTCTGGTCCTCTTCAGAAATGTCGTTGAAACTCTTCTTAGTTATATGCTAAAGAGTGAGTTGACCCAGACTTGTCAGAGAAAGTTGCAGATTGTAATGTTAGACCAAAGGTTTTGGTAAACCACAAGCTCTTTTCCACGTTGACCTTCAGTTCCGTAAGTTTTCGATGTTGTTGCCTTCTGCCGACATCTTGCACTTCTTTCCCGGCTGTATTTTTTAAATGTAGTTGAACTCCAATCTCATCAAGATAATCCCTCAGATCCATGTTTTGCTCCAACACTCTATCATATTCCTTCTGCTTATTGTTCAGGGCTATACCACTTGACTTACTGCTATAGTTTAGCACTTTTATTTCAGACCACAGTTTCTCACATCTGTCTTTCAGACTTTTATTTTCCTTGGACTGTATCTCGACTTTCTCATTTGTTCTCTTAACTTGATCCTGAAGCTGAGTCACCTTGACAATTTCACCCTGATATATTGATATTTGCTTAACGTTAAGCAAATATTCTTTCCTTGGACGGCCATTTAGCGCACGACATTTGCTGTTTACTTCCCCAAAACTTCTCCTTAGGATACCGTTGATTCGTTCGTTTTCGTGTAGCTCATGTATTCCATGTGATGATATAAAAAAATTCAGCACTGCAACAAGCGAATACCCTGCTATCAATGCATCAGGCATTATAATACGCGTGTTTTTGACACATTTGTGTCCTTGTGAAAGGCGAATGTGTCCTTGTAAATGGAAAAGTGTGTAGTTAAAAATCATGCCTCATGGACAAAAATGTCTAATATAATTTTAATTTGACTATTTAAAATAATTATTGTTTCTATTATAAAGTTTGCTTTGCATGGCTATGCTCTTTTTTATATGCTTACGTTGTAATTTCACGTTGTAATTTCTAAGATTAAGTGATTATTGAACCTAAAGACAATGTGTGTCCTTGTAAAAATTCCGTATTATAATGCCTGCAATGCATCCTTTCCGAGTAGATCATGAAATCGTCTTAAATGTTTGTGAGGAATAGCGATAGTGAGGGCGATATCATTGTCATTCACTGCAGATTTGTTGGTAAAGCTCTTGCAAAGGTCGGAAGACAAAGAGATCTTCTGCTTGAACGAACTCAAATCAAATATATTCTTCAGAAGATCAGACATTGATTTGATTTACATTTCGATTTGCATAGAAAAGGTTTGAAGCGCATATCATTTCCCGCGTTCAAACGACAATAATACAAGACAGCAACGTTCACCAAGGTACATACATACATATATGGTGGTATAAGCAGAGAGACCACCCTGTAGAAACACTGTTTGATCCCGTTTAACCCTTATTATCAATATTTTATCTAATAAAATGGCGTCTACTTTATATCTTCAAAGAAGAAGACAGATGTTTTGGCATGTTTTTCAGCCTTTGCGCGCAACATAATTATGCAAAACAATCATATATTTGCGCAAATTTCCCTGGTTTTCAACTCTAATTTGTACGGGGTTAAATGGGTCTGATTTCTCTGAAGAAAACAAAAATATTTACGGAATAACATGTTGTTTACGGACGAAGGGCGGCAAACTTGGTACAATGTGAAATATGTGAGGAAAGGCCGGATTAAACTGTCACTTTTGACGCGAAACGGGCTATTGATATACATTTACTGTGATCCAAATGAACACAAAGTTGGCGATGAAGTGTACGTACTTAGAGGTATGTATTTAGCTGGAAATTTACATTATTAAATTTCTCTTGATTTGTTCGTGTAATATTAAGGGCGGCAAATTTTGTGCAAGAAACTAAACTCTTTTGAATTTAAAAAGTTGTCATCACTCTTATAAATTTAATAGCAATTCCGCCATGTTTGTTTAGGGAGGATTGAGCATGCTCAGTGTTAATGTCTCAAATTTCTGGCCATGAATTTGATTAGCAGCGAAAAGGAAAAGATGGCTTATAGGCATTGCATTGTATGTATGTATGTATGTTTTTGCCACGAAATAAGTATGTAAAAAGTTATTTGAAAATGTTGACGTCAGACGAGTAAAAGCCGCAGAGCCGGCGAAGGTACATAGTGTCCGAACAGGGGTTCAAGAAAAGTCATCCTACGACTTTTGTAAGATTGCCATGGGCATGCCAGAATAAATTTTTCAACAATGTCATAGGTTTATTTATAAATAGACGTTTTCCTTCTCAAGCGATTTGTCCAAAAGGCTATTTTGGAAATGTTGGGAATGGCGGCGTAGCTGAATGTCTCCTTTGTCCTGAGAATACTTTCCAACCATTAGCTGGACAATTCGAGTGTTTGCCCTGTCCAACGGCAACCTTCACAGAAGGCCGTGGGAAAATTGATCGGAGTGATTGCAAATCAGGTAAGAAATGATTTAGTCATTTTGCGCAAATGTTATTACTAAAATACACTAATTCTATTGTTAAAATTATGAAATTACAAAAGGAAATACCAAAAGCTACTTAAAATAGAAAAAAACTGACATCACAATAACTCGTTGTTAAATTTTTACCAAAACGAATATTGCGCAAACAAACGCTCCAAACGAATAATTATTGTAAAATATGCAATAGTATATTCAAATATTTACCATTTACGAGCTATACAATAATTTTATTAGCAATACAATTTTCTTTCTGCCCGGGGCTTCTATATCATTTGCGTAGCCAGCCTGACGATTTAGTCTTGCTATGTCAATTTTACGTTATTATCGTTATTCATTTCTTTAGAAATTCATTGTTTTCGCAGTCAATGAACACGAAAATATTAGCACATATACCAAGACTAAATTGTGGGGACTGGCTACGCCAATGTTCTATAAACGTCTGTTTTATTAATAAACAACGCTGTAAAAAATTTAAAAACGATGAAAAACTGCAATTTAATTCTACTGTTTAAATTTAATCCACAGTTACAAAACCTACTAGAACAAATGAAGAGAAATCCACTGCATTCCAAGAAACCAACACGCTCTCAAAAAAACAACATTACGTTGTTACAGAGCCTGCGGAAATTAGGAAAGAGGACGATGACGAAGGACTAGGTCACGTCGTAACTATTGGAATTACTTTTGGTTGTATCGCAGGTTTAACGCTCCTTTTCGGTAAATACGTCTATATTTGAAGTACACTTTTATGCATATGATATCAAAATCACTCCTTCCATTTTTATCATGATTTATGATGAACGAAACATGTATGCTTTCATTCTGTATAATTATTGAATTTTGCACTGTTATCGCCATGGAATATACTCTTATGTTATTTTAGTACTTCTTCTGCTGTGGTATCGAAGAGAAAAATCCCTAAAAAAAGGTCAGAATAACAGGGATGATTCATGTAAAAATGGATGTTCAGACAATGGTAAAATTGATGGCGAAGAGGAATTGAGAACATTTAATAATTTTGGCTATGCACACGATTCAGACATTAACACCTTGAAGTCAGGTTCCGAGGTGGATAACGATGTATCTGGGGTTACTCGAAAACCAAAGAGTGAAGAAAAAGTAAGAGGCTTCAAATTTAAATTACCATTCACGAAGAGAGAGTACAAAGTACACCAAACCAGTAAGAAAAACGCGCATGTGAACTACAGCAAGAATAGAGATTCAACTCCAAGTCAATCCGGTATAGAGGAGCATTACGACACCTTTAAAATGGCAGAGAGCGGTACAACAGGAGATATTTACTCAAAGAAGGCTGAAGGCAATTTAGATGATGAAAAGGAAAAGCCAAGCAATGAGCTACAAATGATCCCCATTGCGATTGAAAATGAGCTGTATGGTACGAAAGGTGAATGCTTTATAGACTCGATATAGTTCGTTCTAGATAAGGAGCGATATGATTATCACGAGGTGCTGAACGTAATTGGTTATATGATTAAAGAGACAAATAATTTAGTGAAAAAAGGAATTGGGTGTATCAATCTGTAGTAATAATTAAGTAATGTTTAGTCTGGTTTAAATTAAAATGCCTGAACTGTCTGGTTCCATATCAATTGTCATTACGTCATTGCTAATGCCCTCTGCGGTGTGACCTACTTTACTCACTAATTTGGGATTTGTGTTTTACAAACGGTGAAAAAAAACAACGAATTACTGATGGCCGTAATATAATAATCTGTAATAATAATTAAGTAATGTTTAGTTTGGTTTAAATTAAAATGCCTGAACTGTCTGGTTCCATCATATGTCATTACGTCATTGCTTTAATACCCTCTGCGGTGTGACCTATTTTACTGACTAATTTGGGATCTGTGTTTCACAAACGGTGAAAAAAAAACAACGAATTACTGATGGCCGTAAAGGCCAACCAAACCCTAAAAACTCTGGTTGCACCGGGGATATGTCAACGTGATGGTAGCCGGACTTCATATCAAAATAATTTAAAACCAAATTCGTGACAAACGTTTTTCAATCTTCCATACGAAACTTGGTCTCAGGAATATTTTTATTGACATGTCTAAGATGAAGAATAAGCCTAGAGGGGAGAAGGGATTAACCATGCACAGTGAGGGGTGAAATACCTCATTTCATCCACACATGCATAGTATATGATGTTCGATTCCCAGCGTGGTCAAGCTAATTCTTCAGCTTATAACTCCGGGTAGCATCTTCACAAAATTCATTTCGTATACAACTGAGTCCATGCACAATTATTAACATGATCTTTGTTTTGAGGAAGACGACTTCTAAAGAAAAACACAAAGATCTTTTTACGGCCTTTACGCAATAAATTGCTCTTTTCCGTTTCATACTTAAAAAGTATTGCAAGTAATTGAGACAAAAAATGTTAATTACGCTGTATTAACGTCATCGAAAATATAATTCTGTGTCAAGATTATTGCGAACGTTAGGGATCTGCAAACCAACAAGGTAGGCTATTTGTTCTAGAGAAAGTTCAGTTTTCATTTTAACTTAGTATGGGTTTCTATATAAGTCGATTGCAAATATTAGTGTGTATGACGTTAAAATACCGATTATATCGATATATACTATATTCGGAACAAGCGTGCTCTCTTACATACTTCCACAACAACATGCAAACCTTAACGAGACGGGCCCAGTATTACTTACACTGTTTACGTTTGGCGGGATTGCTAAATTTTCTTAAAATTAATCCGTTGTAGCGAACACATTGGGGCAAATTGGGTGAATATATTTGTCACAAATATCAGTTTGTGAAATAGATACGTGCAATACATAGATTTTACTCCTAATACCTAATTGCATGATTATGGCAAGCTATTTAGTTCATTCATTATGGAAACATTGTTTCGAGGTAGGAAGCTGAATTTGGAAATGCAACATCGTAAACCTGCGTCCCTTTCTAGTTCTACTTACTGAATTCCTACTTCCTGTCTTATGATGTTTTGTCAGGAATTGAGAAAAAAAAAGTTAATTATGCACATCATTTGCATGCAAAGTTATAATAATTGTTATTGCAAACTGAAATTTTCCATATGAAACTTTGCTAAAATGTAAAAACCATCACAAATATTTCAGACTCTACAACTACATGTATAATATTGTTTCAAAGAAACAGAACCTAGCGGCAACCTTTATTAATTACGGCCTTCAATTTCGCTTCAAAATGGCGGCAAAGTTATCGTTCCAGTCTTGGTAGAGATCACTGCTGCACATACATGCAGACATAGAAATATTTTATGACATCCGCCCCCTTTACGCGATTAAACGGAAACCATGTAGGGATTATACTGCTTATTGAGTGTCAAATTGCATTGCGCATGCCATGCAAAAGAATCCCTCCAAAGTTGAACGTCTAGATTTTTCGACATTCTACGTACAGAAAGTATAATCTGAATAAAAATATGATGTTATTATTCGTTAAACAAAAATTAATATACCGAGGTTTTTGCGATTCAGTGCGGTCGTTGTCTTTATGCGTGTGGTCGAAGGCATTGCGTGTTAGAAATGAGGCTTAACGTGCTCCTTCCCTTCCTGATCATGAATCCCTTGAGACCTAATCGCTAATTCGCATTTTCAGCTCCAGGCTCCCAATCGTAACTGATTGCTTCCGACGGGCCTCTCGACTGCCCATATTCACCATACTGGTCGGGGTTACCTTGGCAAGATTTCCTACAACTGTTCTCTTCCTTAAAGCGATCTTGAAATCATTATGTCCTTATTTTTTTTCAGATCGACAGCATAAATAACAGGAGTTCCTTTTTTGCCAGTCCTAATATTATGGAAGATAGATATGAAAAAATAACTCTTTTGTTAAGGGTTAGCAGACCAATTGGATGGCTTTTTGGACCTTTGGTTTTCTTTCACGGATTTGTAGCTTCTCAAGCAACTCGTTTGACGTGGTTGACGTGGTGTCAGTTGATAGTTCTTTCCTTTCCAGCCAATCTCGTAGCATATGGCATCAATGACGTATTTGACTTTGAAACAGACAGAATCAATCCACGCAAGCACGCGAAGGGAGAAATAGAAGGAATCGTGCTCGCCCCAAAATATCATTCATTTGTGTTGAGAATGGCTCATATTTTTTCATGCATAATCCTAGTAACTGCACTATTTACAAAGGATGTTCTAAACATACTCGGAATTAGTGTTTCGTTAATTCTGTCATATGCCTACTCAATGCCACCTGTTCGACTGAAGGAAAGACCACCTTTAGATTCAATCACTATTGGCGTTATTGTATTCTGTTTGTTTGTCGCTGGATTTAGTTACAATAAGACAATGCATGAGCTGACCCTTCGCAAGTGCGTTCTTGAAATAGCTTTCATTGCATTTCATGCTTTCACAACAATCATGGATTATTCATCAGACAAAGCAACCAATACTAAAACATTCGCCGTCGTATACGGGAAAAGATGTACGGCGTTATTTTCTTTCTTCTTCAACATACTCCTGCTTTTGTCCTTTTCCGTCTCATTTATGACAAAATTATCTCTTTCCGTTGGTATTTTTAGTTATTTTGCTCTTATTGCTTTCCCAAGCGAAGAACTTGCTCGTATCTTCTTCTACTTTATGGGAATCAATAATCTTATTATTGTGTTTGTGTGGTTTTTTAATAAGATATAATTTATTAATTTTAAGTCCATGCATATATATTTATGTATAAATTTAAGGATTTCACTTTATTAGGTATATAGTTTCCAGTCCAGTTTGAATAGAATGCATAGGTTCTGATAAAAGATTATTTAATTAAACTCTGTCTCGCATTGACTCGTCGAGCAAATTTGCTTGAGTATTTAAAAATTTCTGGCAGTACATGTTCTATAAGAGGGCTTGTATAATGAAGAGTACTTTAAAGCATCCGCAGAATAGGTAATGAACATGCAGTTCTGCAAAGACTTTTATAAAAAACTGAAATTTTAATACCAGTATAATCCATATACCCTCAAAACACTCCGTCTTTAAATCTCACGAAGCGATTTACTGGAGAGTGTAAACTTTATGTTATACTTGAGGGAAAACGCCTGGCGAAGAAAAATTTTGGGCTAAATGGCACTAATAGAAAATGGGCTCAATTTCTTTTTAAACTCCACGGGAAATAACCTAACCAAAACCGCGGTTAACCTTGGTCAAACTTCGGTCTGATTACGGTTGAACTGACGTCAGACCGAGGTCCAACCGCGGTATGATGGAGGTAAAGCCTCGGTCTAACTCGGTCTGACAGACATTTCTTAAGATTTTTTTTATTTGGTTATTGTGTTGGCCTTCTCAGCCGTTCATAACATTTCGTTTGGATGCGAACGGCCACTGCGAATTCAATTTGTTCCCTTGCGGTCGTCTGCGGTTTCTTTCCGTCGACCGCAAGTGAACCGGAACCTAACCGCAGCTCAACCGCAACTGCAGTGTTAGGTTATTTCTGGACAGTACTGTATGCAACATAAATGTCCAACGAAAATTTGGCCAAGAAAGTGTGACCTTGTCCTTTGCCGATTCACGCGCGAAGCCTAAATTCTCTTCTAATATCTTCTTTATCGTTTATTCATCTGTAATCAACGTAAGTTCTTAAATGGTAAATTTTATATACATGGTAACAACTTCTCTACACCTGCGCAATAATATTTGTAGTAGGTCGTTGAGCAATTCAAGTATTTTATTAAAAAGTATCATTGGTTGGAAGCTCGTTTCACATTTAAAATAACAGTTCGGCCCTTAGCACATGGGCTAATTACACGTTTTAGATTAACTCAGGCTAGACCGCATGATATTGTTCCTAAATTAATAATTATTTTGCATGGACAGGAAATTGAATTACTGTTACTAGTGCGCGGAGCCTTGATGACATTTTGATATGCCACTACACCGGATGCATGAGGCGATTCACGATGCAATGTACCCATGCTGGTAAGCCAATGCCTGCCTACGTCAAGATAACGTGGCTGTTTATATGTGTGTTATCCCGCTTAGCTGAGATTAAACGAAAATAACTTCATCAGTGCAGTCCTTTTCTTGTTTCTATCTCTATAAATTATTATGATACCGAATTAATATTCCATAAACTATAAACTCCCTTTAAACTTGACCTGAGCAGTGTTTTATCGCCAAATCAGTCAAGGATACAGCGCTAATGCTAGCTACCACTGCAAAATACAATAGCCCGCTGGCCACTCATACAGGTGCTCACATTATTTTGACAAGTTTTCTTTGTTGACTCCAAGCCAGCGAAATTTTTTTCTGTTACAATTAGATGCACTTATTCAAAATCAAGTATACTTGACGACAAGTTTTTATGTAACAAGTTTTCATTGTTCGCCTGTAAGCCCATCTTTGACATTTTTTGAACACTTGTTCATAATCGATTCTTATAAAAACTTGCTCGTCTATAAGAGGCTTTACCCGAGATTCAATGAGGCGTGAGATGATTTTATTAAAAGAAGTCATTTCGAAACAAAACAAGCGCATGATATTGTTAAGATGACTATACATTACATTACATTACAATCCTTACGTTGTTATTACATTACAGTCGTTATTATTACATTACATGTTATCGCAATAGCATTGTTGTTTCGCTGGTCTCTGTAGACTCCTATGTCGATCAGGATGCTGGCCCACTTTGTGTATATTGCATAATAAATATGTGAACACCGCTCTCCGGAGGATTCATAATTCCGACTCAAATAACAGCTAGAAATGGTTTAAATACTTAAGATGAACGAGCCCTCTAGTATAATTGGTGCAATGATATAATGTCGGACATAATCGAACAACTTTTTTACCATAACAACGGTGATGACATTTCTTCTAGAGCTTTCGCCTCTTGCAACATATAATTATATTGATCAAAATAATATATGGCACGCATATTTTATATTTTACTGCTCTCCAGACTTTTCCTCTTACAAAATCAAATCTCCTAATGATTTTGCCGTTGCCATATCTTATTATAACCATTTTAGGAAGCCAACTACTGTGAAATTTTATTTCATGATCAGCTAACTAACACTATATCCAATTGTCGTCAGTGATATTATTCTTGGGTTTCATGTGACGTCGTAGATTTCAATGAGGGTTCAATTCAAGGCATTGCACTCGATTGCAAACGATTAGTTCGCTGAATATATCTGCTTTGTAGCAAAATGTGCTAGTTCGTATATCGTTTGTTCATTTAAGTGCAACACAAGCATTGAAACATTTGAGCTTGGATAACATTCATTAATTGGGAAACCTATCAATAGGACATTATGGAATGCGGATCGTGAGCAGTTTAGAAAGCTTATACTATTAGTCTGTAATATAATACACTCATCATTAGTAATGATAATTAATTATGATTGCCGCAAATATTCATTGCTGTACAGTAAGCAATGGCTATATTCGCTTAATATATCCTATTTCTGAAATCTGGCCGGGACCGGTACAGATGTAACAGAGTTGACACACGGTCTCTGCGTAGAATATTAAGAAAACGTCTTAGTAACACATCAAAACTATCCTATTTTCAAATGCAATGAAAAATTATAGACTCGTTTTGAGATTCTAAGCATTTTCTAAGCCCTAATATGACCATTTCAACCAGTAACCTGTCTGAAACAAAATGTTTAGCAGTATCCATGCACTATAACGGTATATATGAATGCCAACACTCAGTCCATTACTGCTGTACTGTGTATCCAAGTGACCAAATCCTTTAAAGCAATGCCAATTTAAATCGTCTGTGAAATCCTTCAGGAAGAACAAAGTAAAATCTGTGTGTTAAACTCCATTTGCAGTTTGTTTCCTTTGTGAGTGAATTCCAATTACGGATTTCCATCCTTAACACAATTTGTGACGATTAAAGGGACCTCAGTCTGTAGGCACTTCAAGACCCACAAAATAATCTATACAACTATATCCTTATCTTCTCAAAAAATCGAATACGAAAGCCAAGCAACTGCTTATTATCCCAAATTATGGGAAACACATATTGAATCAGGACGGGCTACGAAATCCGATAGAAAATGCAAAAATGCAAAAGCTAGGCAAATGTCGAAGCAACATAGCATCCAACCGTGACGTATGGATTAGGAAGCCTTTCCCTTCGTCTAACCCAAATGTTTGTAAAAATAATTCACAGTCTCTGATTGGCTAATATTAATAAGAGAAATCGTCTTGCCCAACAAATGACGTGATAACATGGAATACGGTCTTTTATGTACTGTATTACGTCATCACGTGCGGTAAATTAACGTTGTATACCGTTATACACGTTGTGACTTAGTGATAATAACAAAGGCATCAACGTCAAGAAACCGCGCCGACACAAATGCAAGCGAACAGAGTTTTATTATTGATTTAACATACATTATAAATAAATAAAACGTTTCAGTAATTTGTACATAGTTATCGCGAAACAAAAAACTTGTGCTAGCTATCTGACGTATTCATAGCAACAAGCCGAATTTCCATGTCGTCTTTTAGATGAATAGTTGTGCGAAAACGCACGGGAATTCTTTGTTCAAAAATCATCTCATTCGAAAATACAAATTTATTTTCCAATAACTTAAATAAAATCAAACGTGCTCTTTCTCGGCCAATCCGCCATTTGGTGTTATTTTGACACCCCAAATTTAACTCCCTATATGGCGTTATTTTAACACTTTCCGTCGGCAAAATAGGTATTATTTTGGCACCTTGCAATGGTGCTGGTAATATGGTGTCATATTGGCACTTTTAGCGTATTCCCAGATTTTGTGGTGTTAAATTAGCACCGAAGTTGGTGCCAAAATAGCACTTTCTATTTAACACCACTGCATGGTGTTGATTTGGCACCTACGGTGGTGCTATTTTAACACTTCAAAATTAACAGTGCTTGATAAATACTTGTATTATGTTTAATAGCCTGGATCAGTTAACGTTTATTAGGCAATTGCAGGTGGAATTTTGCCAGGGGGTAAATAAGGCAATTTATGACCGTGACAAGCTCTGAAAAGTTATTTTGATTGGTGGAATATACATGTACAGTGAAACAAAACTATAAAGCCTTTATTTAGCCCCGTCCACACTAGTGACACTACACTCGATTTATTGGCACGGCACGGCTAAAATGCATGGATCCCCGTGCCTATTTCATCCCTGCCTGGCCTTTGTATTGTTAGCCTGCATGAGCACTAATAAAATTAGGTAGCCGTACCCATTTTAGCCGTACCGTGCCAATAAATTGAGTGTAGTGTAAACTAGTTTAGTCCAGTTAGTTCGCTTCGCACTATATGTTTGATCGGTTATCAGGCGGCCTTCACTAGAAGCCTAATTGCATGTGGGGTGTTTATTCATGCACCATTTTTTTTCCCAACTGATTTTTTTTAATAGCGCTAGCGATTATTTGAACATGAGTATATACAAATATGCACTATACCCCCACTTAAGCTTCTAGCGACAGCCCTGTTCGTGATGATGACATTTTCTTTCTGCCAATAAATACTGTATACTTTTACATCCGGGAGGTAATTGAGTTTTCCCTCAAAAGTGCCCTCCCAAATCTATCCCTTGATGCACTCTTAATTAAGTCGTATTTAAGTCGTGGAAAACTCTCATTTTCAAGGAGTTATAATTGTCACCCAAAAGTATGAACAATGATAATAATTTTATGGACCCGACACAAACCAATTCCGCTTTAGGTTTTTGAAGTTAAAGGAAATAAAAGAACGTGCAGACTTTAGAAAAATCCACGCTTATTGATAATTGATAGTTTCATGTCAACATTTCTTCAGGGGTCTGCTGGCTATGGCCATGTCGAAATGCATTTTTCGACGATACGACAAAGAAAATTACGTCCTTTGAATGAAGCTACATCATGCACATAATTATGAGATATTCAAACACCACATAATTATACGACATTTTAATATTATGATTTCTCGTTTTTTGGAATGACTTTATAGCAGTTTAGAGTGACTGTACGTATCTGTACGTATAGTCCTCAGTCCCTTTGCAATATTTTAAATCACTGATATAGACTATTTAAGATATTTCAAACCCGTATGCTTTTTTGCAGACTTTTAGACATTAAAATGCAAATTATTTTTAGTGCAATTATATATTGTATGTTATCAGCACGTTAATAATTGTTAAAATAAGGCAAGAAATGCTTTGACTGAGCTCTTTAAGAAATTTTAACTTGGGCAACATTCAAAATATACCTAGTAGCCCTTAAACGTACAAGATTAAAGTAAAATGGAATTGCTCCTCGAGATGGTAAGTGCTTTCCAATTTAGCTCCCTGACTACAGATATTGAACTTACATTAATAATATCGAAAAACGGCTGCATGATAAAAGGATTTTGCGTTTTGAAGGAAGCGAGCAGAGTGGTTACACGGCTGTTAACAGACATTGAATAAAGATGTCCGCTACAGAGACTGTTCAAGAAGGCAAAGATGACAATGTCAACAAGCAGACAAACCAGCTCTCGCTGCCGGAAAGAAGGGTAAGGGAAGGCCAAAGTTGCTGATTTGAAAATGTCTGATGATTGCACTTGCATGTATAAATTACTGTGCATGTATTCGTCTTTATAGTCACGAGCCAGTTCGCTGCTTCAAAGACTCGGAGAAGAACGAGAAGCTCCTGACCCAGTCGGACAATACACCATTCAAGTGAATGAGAGCGAAATAAAAGGTAGTTTTATATTCATTATTGAGAAACAGATTAACTATGATAGAATACATCGGTATTATTATTTTTACATGGTAGACGATGCGACTATACCACAAAATATCTCCTTAAATCGTTTTGTTCAAGTGGGGACAATGTTTAATTTGCATTCTGAGCCTTATGGTCTCAAATCTCGGTCTTGAACATAATGCTTAGGCCTTATTCATATGTAATAACCTCATGCAGTGTTTGATTATATATTTTCATCAACTATACATATGTACCAAACGTATCCAAAGCAACCATATAAAAGTGAACGATAGACTTAATTGTCCAGCTTGAGTCCAGCTTATGATCGGGTGAAGAATATGATGTATATTAACAGCTTGACAATTCGGATGGTTGAAATATTTTGAGAAAATGAATATCTCTTGAGGCCAAACTATGCATGTGACCAACATGAAGGATCATTGTGCAATAATTATTAATATAGGAGCTAGCGAAAGGTTTTATATTGTCATTTCCCTAACTCCTCGATCATGTCAATATTGGTATATATAGTGTTCTTCCATTGGCAGGCAGTGCCTTAATTGTTAAGCCTAGGGGTATGCTTTGCTTTTTAGCACCATTGCCGGTTAACACGATTTTTCGCCGCTGCATTCAGTGGCGTAGCCAGCCCGACAATTTAGTCATGCTATGCTAATATTTTGGTGTTCATTGACTGTGAAAACAATGAATTTCTAAAGAAATGAATAATGATAATAACATAAAATTTGCATAGCATGACTAAATCGTCAGGCTGGCTACGCCACTGGTTGCATTAAGTTCACAGGGTGAGATAAATGCATTTTTTAGTTTATCGTGCCTGCATGAGGATATATTTTTTAAAACGTGTTCTAAGCCTCTAACTTGATATGAGGGATCCCTTGCATAACAATATTTGACAGAAATTATTATTACGATGTTAATTATAATATAATGTTATTAGGTGATTTGTGCAAACCAAGTCGCGAGGTCGAATGATGTTCAATACACGCACTTAAATTTCACTGCTTATATATCTACTTGTTGTCACTTACGCATCCTAATCATCAATAATATACTGCTAGGAGAGTGTGAAAATAAAGTTTAGTGAATTTTATAGTTAAGTGTATTATGCAAAGCACTAAAACGTTAAAAATATGGCTATTTTTTAATCGCTTGCAATAGTTTTGCCTAAAATTGCTGGTCTCAAAACCAATTATTTTCCTGCTTTTCCATTGAAAAGTTATTTCTCACGCTGAGTACCTTAAAAAAGGTTTTAAGGTTATAAAAAAGTTAAACTAAAAATGGAGAGCTGACGTAAACACAAACCAGAAAATATTACATTAGGAACGCAAATATGCTATGATTACCATAAACAAGCCCAGCAAATTGTAAATATGCATGCATGCATGGTGCGCAATTAATGCATGAGTGATTTATGTGAAATTTAAGAATGCACAACAGGGCTACGAAAGAATGATATTTGCATAAATAGATGTGCAAACTTGTTACGGCAATATGTATATATGCTATATCTGCGATTTCTGCCTATCGACAATTGTCTGTATAGTATAATAACGAATTTGAATTGATTGGTGGGCATGATATTAGTTATATAAAAAATTCTGTGGTAGCCAACATTATTTTCTCGACTATAAGAATACTACACTTTTTATATTGGGTGCTAAGCCTTCCGCTGCAGCGAAAATCTACAATGTGCACTAAATGTAATTTCATAAAAGAATGAGGCTGTATTTCTTACAAACAGCTTTCAAAGATTTTCAGTTATTCTTTAAAATAATTGGTTGTCTATTCACGGAATTGTGTAATTGCGATAACTTTTCTCACTTGAAAAGCAAATCGAAGGAAAAACTTAATCGAAAATTACACCTGGGGTGGAAACTCATCCACCAAACAAACGGCGCAAACAACGAGGATTACTGACAATTGTAAAAAAACACGTAGTATAAAAACCCAACATGGATATAGAAATGCTATAAAAAAAAGCAAAACTCGTTCTCAAGATTGTGACTAATATTTTTATTTTATTGCAAAATCATGATCAGACAGAGTGAAATTGCAATACATAGCCTAATATACCGCTTTGCGCTACATTTATGTCCAGCTTGATCACACAAAGTTATATCCGAGCTCGAGTATATAGCTACGGTATAAGTCCACGTATTATTGGCTATTGTGATATAAGTAGACTGTCTGCATATTATTATGCAATAATAAAGTGTTATCCCGGGTGTCTTTCTCAATTTTCTGAGCATAAATTGCGAGTTTAAAGATATAAATTATGTATATAAAAAATAACTAATTTCCGTAATATATATTTTTGAGATAGAAGCTTCTCCATGATTTACTATTACTATATTCAATCTGAACAATACATATTTATTTTTTGTCGGCTAATTTTTATCAAACAAAACGCATCCGTTTGCCTGTAAATCTCCAGACTAAAAGGTCTACTGTTATAATTGTGTTTCAAATCCTCGGAAATCAACCTTCTGCCTGCAACCCGACTATAACCGTGAGATATTTTGGAGAGTTGTTGCAATTGAAGAGGTTTGTTATTTGACTTTTTAGTTATATCTCCAACTCTGTCGAATATTAGGGAAATGTAATTTATGCATGTGTATTGCCTCTTAGAGTAAGATCATGGTTCAAGTTGCATAAATATATATTCGATTAAACGTTTTGCATTGTGCAGCATTCTCGCTATATCGGCTTTTCAAAATCCTTATAATAACCCTTCAACGATTTTGTTCAACACGAGCAACGCTATAGATGACAATGTGACGAAATAATTACAAGAGGCATTTATTTTATACGAATGAAACAAGCCACGGCTACGACCAGTACAAATAATCAAACTGTTTGCATATGAACAACCAATAAATAAAACTTGTAAAAGCTATAGAACTAGATAACAGCTAGAACTATAGATCAGCTCCGGCTCATTGTGTATTGACTGTCTCATATACGAGTTGTCTACGACGTGTAGACGAGGTACATATAAAAGCTAATATTCACTCGTATACTATGATAATTGCCCAAAAGAAATTTGACAAGCATAAAAAACCTTTGTTAATTGAGTCTCATGATTATTATAAACACTTTAATTTAGAGAGTTTCCTTCCGCGGCAATTTGATCCTCTAATTTTTAAGTCATATATACAGTTTGTATAAAGTGTATTCATTCACCGCCTTGCATATTTAACGATATGCACTGCCGCCTGCAAGTTGAAAAGCAATATTTTATATGTATACTTCTCCGCCTACGTGTCTTGCCGTTGTTATTGTGATTAATATAAAAACGCGAGTATCAGTTCTTCCTTTACGTGCATTTGATGCTGTGTATTCTCATTTTATTACACTCACTCTCGCTAAAGTGTGGTTCAGCTAGGATGCCATAAATGACCTAATTTGAACTACCTGGATGTGTAAATATTTTAAATATGTATATAAAAAACAAATCAGATATGCATGTATATACATGCAGGGTGTCTAAAAAACACAAAAACTACTACAAACACTTATTGTTAAAATTTGAATGCCGTGATCACGAATTTTAGCCCGTGGGGATTTAATGCAACTTATAAAATGCTTAATGCTTTCTGCTTGAGATGCTCATTTAAATATTGCTACCCATATTTGTAAATTGTAAATATTGTTAATAAATATAATTTTTGCGAACAAGCAAATTTTACTGCATCATATGCATGCATAAAAAAATTCAAATTCTAACAATTACATTGTTATGGATGTCGTTTTTTTCAGACACCCTATAGTGTAAAAATTGTATATAGTGTAAAAATTGTATATAGTGTAAAAATTGTATATAGTGTAAAAATTGTATATAGTGTAAAAATTGTATGTATGCAAAAAAAACAAAACAAAAACAAAACAAAAGCTAAGGGAATTTGCAACCCATCCTCTTCATATTTATCTACTGAATTTCATATTGCAGCTAAATGCAATCTCAATCTAAATGCAAATCTCGAAGCCAGCTGCATTGCTTTAGGGTTTGGATTGGAAGAAGACTGGTATTATAAGGAGTTTAGCTATATTAAATGTCGGTAAACACGCAATGGAAGAAATTGGCAGAAAATGATTCCGCACTTTGGTGCTAAATTATTTTACTGATATTCTCTCACCCTCAATTCGTTTTAGATCATCGGCAAGTATACCTTGGTGTTCATATACCATTCAAACCGACGAGGTCACGGCGAAGCCAGTATCGCAAGAAATCAGGAAAAAACGACTCAAAAGACAAAACGGCAAATGGGACAATTGGTAAGACAGATCAAATATACTGCATCCCCTGAAGGCTGGTTTCCATTTAATCGTTACGATCGCTTCAGTCATTACGACTGAAAGTTCAATCTTAGCTATCACGATCGTTACGATCGTTACGAATTTTTTTCAGTAGCGGTCGTAACGATTAAATGAAAACCAGCCTTATAAGCAACCTAGATAAAAGATACTATAAGTTATGCACAAAAGTACAACACAACAAGGCGAAGCAAAAAATATAAAATCAGATTGTGTCAAGGAGAGAAAATTATTAAGTGGATGATAATCGATATTACGTACAAAATGGTATTCAGGACATGTAACTGCGTGTGCATTAATGCAAATTATCGTGTTGAGTGCCTAATATATTCATAACGCCTACTGTAAAGCATATAAAAGAGACAACCAATAATCTTAAGACAGACTCTGTAACATACTCGTAAGGGAACTTAAGTAAAGCGAAGTAAGTTAAGCAAATAATTAAAGTGCCAAAGAATCTTACGAGAACTTAATAAAGCGAAGTCAAACAAGTGTATCGTCAAGATTTATTTTTAAACATTCATGGCGCATTACGGTGAACAAGCATCGGCCGCCACAGTAAGATTCTCTACATACAAAGACGAAACCAGAGCTGATTGAGATCAACTATGGAAAGATCAAATTCGATGCCAGCAATAACAAGATTGAAGACTTTCAGCGCTGAAGTAAAGGATCAAGATGAAGATAGAGCGCAGAGTGAAATCGTTGATGAAAGACGTCAAAGACGAAGTAGAACTTTGGACCCTAGACGTGTGACTGATTTAAAGGATTTACTGCAACTAAGAACGTTGGCTGGAGCAAACCTTCGAAGAAAAATCACTTACGTAAATCGTTTGCTCGATCAGCCTTTCGATACAGTCGATGTTTCGATTCTAGAAAGACAACGAGACGAACTAGATAAATTGCGAGAAAGGTTAAACGAAGCACACGATAATTACTATTCAAATCTAGAATCGTTGCAAGAAATCACCGAAGCGTACCGATGGCTAGATATACGTGATCGCGAACATTTTCTATCTCGAACACGAGTTAACGAAAGAATAAAGGCCGTAGAAGAGAGAAGTACACAGAGAAGTTCACAGTCAAGCACGTTATCGCGTTTGTCGGGAAAATCAACATCATCAGTTCGATCAAGAAGAGCAAAAGCCGCCGCGAAAGCAGCTTCATTGCTAGTTGAAATGGACTTTATTGATAAAGAAGCAGAATATAAAAAACAAAAAACATTAAAGGAAATCGCTAAAGCCAAAGCAGAAGAAGAAGCTCTTAAGAATTGAAGAGAATGTGAAAAACGGGACATATCTCGCACTAATGAAATGCAAGCTTTCGATCAATATCGTGGGCAAGGAAAAAGCATAACAACCCAAAAAACCCATCCCCCACAAGAACAGCGTAGATTCGAGGTACTGGGAACAAGAGTGCATACTCATAAGCAAGATTTGATTGGTGATGAAGCTACATCGGACGACGAAGATATTCCTGATGTTTCTGACTACTCGTGGCTAGCTATGCCTAATGAAAATATTCTTCAGTCAGCCATGCCTGATGAAGCAATTCCTCGGCATGTTCCAGCGACGTTCGAATTGAATGCAAACGCTCAAGAATTCGTTTCTACATATACTGTTCCTCCAGTCTTAAAGGGCGAAGAACGTCAAGTCATTCCTGAGAAAGAAACAAATGTTTATGAATCACAATCTAATGATGTGAAACCAGATCAACCTGATAGTGTTGGACCTTTATTAGTTGAATTGGCTAAGCAACAAGTATTGAATTCCTTACCTAAACAACAACCACCAATGTTTTCTGGTAATTATTTTGATTATCCTTATTTCATTAATTCCTTCGAATCCCTCATTGAAAGCAAAGTCGAGGATCCGAAGCAAAGACTTTATTATTTGAATCAGTTCACAAGTGGGGAAGCAAGAGAAGTTATCAAAGGCTTAGTCACATTGAACTCTCCAGAAGCCTACACGAAAGCACGAACTGTTCTGAAAGAAAGATTTGGTCATCCATATCGCGTTGCTTATGCCTACAAAGAAAGGTTATTGAATTGGGCTACCATAAAGGACTCAGGAGATGGTGTTGGTCTATTGAAATTTTCAGATTTTCTTGTACAAGCGGAAGAAGCTATGAAGACACTTAAACACATGGAAGTGTTAAATAGCGAAGATGTCATAAAGAAGATTTGCTCAAAATTACCAAATTTCGCAATTGCAAGATGGTGCCGTCGAGCGAATGAAATCTTAACTGAAAAAGACGCAGTCAAATTCCACGATTTCGTAGAATTTGTGAAAGACGAAGCAACTTTTGCTACAAATCCTGTGTTTTCTCCTTATGCCATTAAAGAAGAAAAGAGAGGTGATAGGAAGAACGAAGGTAAAGAGCAAGACATTCGTAAATGGAAAAGGAATGAACAGTCCAGTAATTTTTCAACCATCGTCAATCCCCTATCGCTTACTGACAAAGAAAGAAGTCCACCTGATGTGCACAAGTGTACTTTGTGTGCAAAGAATCATGTTTTGGAGAATTGTCAGAAGTTTCAAGAAATGAAGTTAAGTGAAAGAATGGATTTCATTCGGAAGAAAGAATTGTGTTTCGGATGCCTTCGTGTTGGTCATGTGTCTAGAAGATGTCTCACTAGAAAGAAGTGTGATGTTTGCCAACTAAAACATCCTACATTGTTACATGATGCAACGAAGAGTGGCAACAAGAAAGAGTGCTCAACGCAAACTTCCTCAGAATTGCCCAATAAGGACCCCAAATCCACTGGTTCTACAATTAACAACTGTGTAAGCGTACGAAATGCTGTGAAATCCAATCAAGATAACAACGAAAGCAGAATCAGTTCAATGATTGTACCAGTTTGGTTGCATCACAAGAAAGATCCCCATCATCAAATAATGGTATACGCTTTATTAGATCCTGCTAGTAATGGGACATTCATTAAAAAGTGATACTTCAAAGAAACTCGGACTTAATGGTATAGATGTTCATCTAAACTTAAACACAATGCATGGAACGGAAATGATAGCAACAAAGAAGATAGCTGGGCTTATCATAGAAGACCTAGGAAAAACCACCCAAATCGAGTTACCGAAATCCGTTTACTGTAGAGATGATATTCCATCAAAAAGAGACGAGATACCTCGACCTGAAATGGCTGAAAGATGGCAGCATTTAGAAAGGCTAACAACACAATTACCACGTTATCAAGAAAACGTGGACATTGGTCTACTGATTGGATCAAATTGTCCAAAGGCGATCAAGCCACAGGAAGTCATACCAGGAAACGAGAACGATCCTTATGCAATTAAAACTCTTCTTGGTTGGGGGTTTATCGGTCCTGTTTCGAAGTTGAATGAAAACGACTTAGACTTTGAAAGTTATCAAATGTCATGTAATCGCATTGTGACCAGGGAGATTGCCTCAGAGAAACAACTAAACATTGTTTTCGCTCCAGAAAATCGTGTAAAAGAAATTATCGACCCATCAACGATCAACAAGATGTTCGAACTCGATTTCAACGAGAATATTAACATTTCGCCAACGTATTCCTCAATTGATGACCAGAATTTCCTGCGAAAGGTTTCTGATGGAATCCACCTTAGAGAAGATGGACATTATGAGATCCCACTGCCGTTCAAGAATGATGATATCAAATTACCAAACAACCGAAATTTAGCTGTGTTTCGCCTACAACAATTGAAGTCAAGATTCAAGAATGATACTACGTACAAAGAAGATTACGTCACATTCATGAAAGAAATGATAAAGAAAGGATATGCAGAGCAAGTTCCATCGAATGAAGAAACAACAGAACCAGGAAAATGTTGGTACATCCCACACCACGGGGTTTACCATCCCAAGAAACCTAAGAAGATACGAGTTGTATTTGACTGTTCCTCTCAATACAAAGGAGAATCGCTCAACCAGTATCTACTCCAAGGTCCAGATTTAACGAATAAACTGATTGGAGTATTAACAAGATTTCGCCAAGAAAGTGTTGCTTTCACAACTGATATAGAAGCTATGTTTTATCAAGTAAAGGTCTCGAAAGAGTATCGCGATTTCCTCCGTTTTCTTTGGTGGCCTGGAGACAACCCAGACACAAATCAAGAACCTCAAACGTATCGGATGACAGTGCATCTGTTTGGGGCAGCCTCGTCTCCAGGATGCTCGAACTATGCCCTTAAACGAACTGCTGACGACAATGAACAAGAAATTGGAAAGGATGCAGCGGAATTCTTGAGAAGAAACTTCTACGTCGATGACGGGCTGAAGTCAGTCGCCTCCGTGTCCGAAGCAGTTAACCTGGTGAAGCAAGCCAAAGAGATGTGCAGTCGAGGTGGGTTCAATCTGTGCAAATTCATCAGTAACAAAAGAGAAATTCTTCAGCAAATTCCCGAGTCAGACCGTGCGGATGCAGTGAAGAATCTTGACTTAGCTGTATTACCAATTGAAAGAACACTGGGCGTGCAATGGTGCATAGAAACTGACAACTTTGAATTCAGAATTATTTTACAAGATCGTCCGTTAACAAGAAGAGGAATCTTGGCGACTGTCTGTTCAGTTTACGACCCACTGGGATTCGTGGCACCGATAATTCTTCTTGGAAAAAGAATACTTCAAGATCTCTGTCGTGATCAAATTGATTGGGACGACGATATTCCAGAAGATTTAAAGATAAAATGGATAAAGTGGAGAAACGAGCTGTCCTGCCTTAAAGAATTATCAATTCCTAGATGTTTTAAGCCGATTGATTTTGGAGAAGTTAAGTCTGCCGAACTCCACAACTTTTCTGATGCAAGCAACGTTGGTTATGGTCAATGTTCGTATATTCGCCTTCAGAACGCCGAAGGGAAAATTCATTGTTCGCTAGTTATGGGAAAGGCAAGAGTCTGCCCACTAAAGAGCATATCCATACCTCGTTTGGAATTAACAGCTGCATTGGTTTCTGTAAAGGTCAACGAAACGATGAAGAATGAGCTTGAATATGATATACAAAGCGAAACGTTTTGGACGGATAGTCAAATAGCTCTTGGCTACATTGGTAATGACTCCAAAAGATTCCACGTATTTGTCGCTAATCGCATTTCACAAATCCGTAGTAAGACTACTAAAGGACAGTGGAAATATGTAGAGTCAAGTTCTAACCCAGCAGATGACGGATCCAGAGGAATGACAGCCTCGCAATTATTGAAGAACCCAAGATGGATTACAGGACCCAAGTTTCTGTGGCAACCTGAGGATCAGTGGCTTGAACATACAACGGTTGAAGACATTTCATTAGAAGATCCTGAAGTTAAACAATCTTGTTTCTCCCTAAATGTCAATAGAACGTGGTGCCTTGCACAGGCAATTGAAGTTTTCTCGAGTTGGCAACGTGCAAGATCAGCCGTCGCAGTTTGTCTTACCTACAGGGAAAAGCTGTTGAAGAAAGCCAAGTCAGGCCAATCAACGAGCAAAGAAACTATATCTGATAATTGTCAACCAAAGCTTACAGTTGAAACCCTACGCAAGGCGGACATAGAAATCTACAAGTCAGTTCAAATGATGCATTTTCAAGAAGATATCAAGACGTTGACGATCAGGAAAGAAAGGGATGAAAGGTTTGAGATGCCATCTAAACATTCCGTGAAAAAGACAAGTCAGTTGTATCGTCTTAATCCATTTTGTGATTCTCATGGTGTTTTGCGAGTTGGAGGTCGGATCAAGCATGCTGATATTCCCAACAACGTCAAATTTCCAATCATTCTACCTCGAAAAACTCACGTGACGGAATTGGTAATTCGCTATTATCATGAAAGAGTTGCTCATCAAGGACGTGGTCTAACGTTGAATGAGATACGAAGCAATGGTATCTGGATCATTGGAGGATCATCTGCAGTGGCCTACATGATAAGTAAATGTGTGACATGTCGAAAATTAAGAGGAGCTGCTCAAGAGCAATTGATGGCTGACCTACCAACAGATAGATTTGAACAAGCTGCACCATTCACATATGCCGCTGTTGACTATTGTGGACCTTGGTATATTAAAGATCGTCGTAAAGAGCTGAAAAGATACGTCGCATTGTTCACATGTATGGCTTCTCGAGCAGTACACCTTGAAGTCTCGAATACGATGGACACAGACTCATTTATTCAAGCATTAAGACGTTTCATATGTAGACGAGGTCCCGTTCGTCAACTAAGAAGTGACCGAGGCTCAAATTTTATTGGTGCCCAACGAGAACTACAAGAAGCGTTAAAGGTGATGGATGATAAGAAAATCGGTGCTGAACTGTTGAAGTCAAATTGTGATTGGGTCGAATTTAGAATGAATGTTCCAAAGGCAAGTCATTTTGGTGGGGTTTGGGAGCGCCAAATTAGAACTGTCAGGAATGTCCTAAATGCCCTAATGCGAAGGAACAGCACTTGCTTAGATGATGAATCTTTTCGCACACTGATATGTGAAGTTGAATGTGTTGTGAACTCCAGACCTTTAACTGTCAACACTTTGAACGATCCTGATTCCCTTTCTCCCCTTACGCCGAACCACCTACTGACTATGAAGACGCAAGTTGTTTTACCACCGCCAGGAGTTTTCCAGAACAAAGAATTATATTCAAAGAAGAGATGGAGAAGAATTCAGCATTTTATGAACGAATTTTGGGCAAGATGGAGAAAGGAGTTTCTTCATTCATTACAAAAAAGAACAAAGTGGAACAAGCCTCGCAGAAATCTTAAGATTGGAGACATAGTCCTACTGACAGATGAAAGTGAGATTCGTAATAATTGGAAGCTCGGAAAGATTATCACTACTTATCCTGATGAAACTGGTTTGGTCAGAAGTGTTGAACTTGTTGTTGGTGATACAAGCTTGGATGATAAAGGAAAAAGGCTTAGAGTCCCTTCAATGTTAAAGAGACCAATTCATAAACTTGTGCTTTTGGTAGCCAATGACTAACTTAGAAGAAATCAAAGGATTTCTGTGGGGGGAGTGTAACTGCGTGTGCATTAATGCAAATTATCGTGTTGAGTGCCTAATATATTCATAACGCCTACTGTAAAGCATATAAAAGAGACAACCAATAATCTTAAGACAGACTCTGTAACATACTCGTAAGGGAACTTAAGTAAAGCGAAGTAAGTTAAGCAAATAATTAAAGTGCCAAAGAATCTTACGAGAACTTAATAAAGCGAAGTCAAACAAGTGTATCGTCAAGATTTATTTTTAAACATTCATGGCGCATTACGGTGAACAAGCATCGGCCGCCACAGGACATGCCTGAGAATGACCAGTGAAGGTGTTGAAAATATGTGGAAACAAAGCGATATTAGCGGACAATTTGCCAATTATTAGCTATAGCAGGGAATATTGAGGAGGGTGTGATAAAGTGAACGAGGATAAAGTGAACGAGGGAAAAAGTTATGAATGTTCTAATTTAATAAGTGTCCTTATTTTGAACATCCGTATATATCTTATTTTTAACTCAAATCTATCCAAAGGTAAAATTCGTACATAAAATTGGCTCAATAAACGGGCCATAAAAATTGAGAGCAAGAGTGAATCTTAGTTTCTTACTGGGTTTACCAAAAGACATTTTCACCGACAATGTTAGGTGTTTGCGGAACCATTTCAAGCAAAAAGATTTTCCAAATGCCATATATCTCATTACTATGTCTTATCCATTCAAGGTTATCAAGGTCCAGCTGACAGGGTCCGATTTATTCTGGGAAGTGACGATAACGATGTTGAACGTCAGATATTTTCGGAAATGGATGAATTGTGTTGTGATGCAACTGGAGAAGAAGAGTGGAAGGAGACAGCAAGATGGCTGAAATTTGAAGAAGACGTTGAAGAAGGTGGCAATCGATGGAGTAAACCTCACGTGGCCACTTTATCTCTGTATAGTTTATTTGAACTGCGAAGCTGCGTTCTTAATGGGTCTGTATTGCTTGACTTAAATGCAAACACAATGTCTCAGATCGCAGGTGAGTACCAAGGATAAACAATTTATTTTTGGCGCGCCAAGGTCTGGACACAAGGGAGTCCAAAAATGTTTAATGATAAATACATAATATTGAGAATTAACCTGCGCTTTCTGACCAATCAGGCCCGACAATAAAGATGAAATGTATAATACTAATTATATTATTGAATATTTGTTTAAATAACTAGCAGGACAATACTGTTTGAAGTTGGCTTAACGAACAAGGTTTAGGAAGAAAATCCGGCTCTCTCTAAAATAAGAAACTTCTATAGCCAACCTTGTTAATTCCACTATAGAGATACGTATATTAACGTACAAATTTCAAAGGTGTGATATTTTTTTCTTAGATATTGTTCTGGACGATTTGATTGCTACAAGGCAACTTGATTTTGCTTTACGACCTCGGGTTAGGGACATTTTGTTGAAAAAACACAAGCATTTGTATGAAAGAAGAAAAAGTACGCAAAAAAGGAGAGCTAGTCTTCCGTCTTTGAGGGGAAACAGAAAAGCAAGTGTTGCCGCGAGTAATTTCGACAAAGGTAAAGTAAAGAAATTTTATAGCTGACATTTTATTGCAATGCAACACAGTCCTGACCAATATTAATTACATAAGAACTTTTTGCTGTCATTATTTGTTATTCTTCATAGAACCATGCATTTAACTTACGTTTTCCAACATTTGCCTGTGCAATGTCTAGAGACTTCAGAGAAGAAAACGTGATTTTGTAATTGTGATCTATATTCCAGGTGGCAGTGACGGTAACGGGGGGAAAAATGTTACCAAATCATCCACAGGAACTCGTCTACAAGATATGGACAAATCTCATTCTAAAGTCTCAAAAGTGCCCACTGCGGCGTCATTAGTTGGTCAAAATGATGCTGAACCTGAAGAGACTAATACAAATGAACCTGATCAAGAATATGCAAAGGTACTTCAGTATTTAAACACACACGTAAAACTCGCAGAATTTCGAAAATTTATTGTTTTTTTATCGCTTGAGTTCTTTTTCTTGGAAATAATGAAGCAGTATAAAATAGTTGTTGTCTTTTGTCTTTCGTCCAGTATGATACAAATTTCATGAAAAAGATCCCTCCAGGAGCCGAGGGTTCTATGGTTCTCGTGGGAGAAACAGACCTTCTTAGTAAACCAATGAATGCATTTGTTCGTCTGGAAGATGCCGTAATTCTTGGCGATATGATGGAGGTTCCTTTACCAACGCGATTCTTATTCTTCATGCTTGGACCATCTGGACAGCCAGGACGTTACCATGAAGTAGGAAGAGCTCTTGCTACACTCATGGCTGATGAGGTAAGAAACCAATTCAGTCGGTATAGATGATCAAATTCTTCAATGCTGCACGCGGAATTATGTAAGGCGTAACAACATTGTAAACAAAATCTGGTTTATATTAACAAAATCCTTTTATTGCGCAATTTTGTTTTAAGTATTTATCTTAAGATATCTTTCTAGCAAATGTTGGTCGAGAGGAGAAATGACAATATTAGCTGATTTTGTTAATTTAATGGTAATAAAAATATCATGTCTCGTATACAACCGTACTTGGGGAATAAAGAAACGTGACACAAAAATCAAACAGAACAACGATTTGGAACGCAAATATTTTTTTTTGTAATTTTAGAAGAAAACCGCGAAATTATTAGGAAAAACATTGTTTTTATCCACACACACACCACGCATTTTTCTTTATTTGCGCAGATCTTTAAGGCAACATTCATTTTTTAAACGCAGGTATTTCATGATGTTGCTTTTAAAGCCGCGTGTCGCGAAGACCTCGCCGCTGGTATTGACGAATTCCTTCAACAGGTAAATTACAACGTAAATTACGGCGAAGGTCGGCAGGGGGGGGGGCAGGCAGGGGGGGCAATATTCGTATATTCATGTTAGCAGACGGTAAAATCAATCAATTTCAAATGGAACTAATAAAGCTGAACGAATATATGAATATTTGCCCCATCCGCTTTAGCCTGGTTGTCACTGTATCGTAATTGTCGTGAACGAGTTGTCTTTATTATCTTTGTAGTCAAATCGGGCATTTTGAAATGCACACAAGTAGAAATATTTTATTAAATCTGCCAGATTTATGTGTGCCCATATTTAGATCGTGAAAAGAATTGTCATTTATCTTCGAGAACGTGTTACTTTCCGTAGGTTACCGTGTTGCCACCCGGGGAATGGGATCCATCTATCCGCATAGAACCTCCGGCAACAGTTCCCTCACAAGAAAACCGCCGAGCACAACAATATACAGGTGATGGCGACAAACAAAGCAAGGAAAATGGTGTTGGTGTAAAAGGAAGTGGAAACAATGGTGGTGGAGATGACGAAGGAAATGATAATGATAATGAACTGGTTAGAACTGGAAGGTAAATGTACTTCGGCGGACGAAGAATAAGCTTTACTTCGCGCTTTGCAATCAAGGACCAGTTGTATTTCGCCCGTTTGCCTTAAACGGTGCATGGTTAAAGCTCAAAAAAGAAGCAAGTATATCGTTTTAGTCAACAACCGAACTACAAGATACTGTTTACAACTACATACTCAGTGCATAACATTCAAGTTGACTCATTCAAGGGAGTTGTATGAGTGTTATTTAATTTTGACTTATCCACCGTTTAAACTAAACGGACTTGATACAACCGGCCCTGGCTCCTAATTCCACAGCTTTTGGTAACAATATAGATAAATTAATTTCGGACATTTCCATGTTACGTAGGAGAAATACATGCAATGAAATACAATGTATCACGGTTGCTTTTTAATAACTATGACCGCTACAAATCTGTTCTGTATTACTCTAGCTAGCGTGAAATTTAACACACGAGCAATGGAAAGTGAAGCAAAACACTTTCCTCAACTATATTGTATTGGATTGTATAATTACATACTATTTTTGGTGCCCTTGTCGTCCTCTTTAAATTACGCAAAGCTAATTTCCTTTCTGTCTCCAGGTTTGGAGGTGGCTTGATTATGGATATTAAAAGAAGAGTCAAATGCTACAAATCAGATTACGTTGACGCGTTAAACAGCCAGTGTCTAGCAAGTGCTTTGTTTATTTACTTCGCTCTTTTGGCACCAATTGTCACATTTGGAGGGGCGATGGAGTCGAGAACAAAGTCATATATGGTAAGAAATTCCTCCAGTACAGGTTAAATGATTTACGACGAAAGAAACAATTAACGTAACGAAATAAGAACAAATTGTTCGCTTCGAATATTTTTTCACATATTATTTTACATATTTGTGAAATTGCATTCATATGGAACCGAAGCCCGGCTCGGGCGAGATCCGACCTAAATGAAGCGAGATATCGCCTTTAATGGGCTAATATGAAAACCGCGACCAAACAGCCCAGCAAAAGTGAGCCAGCCCGGCTAAACCGGGCCTGGCCCGTCTCATATGAACAAGCCCTTCCAGACTCTCATTTGCCTATCACGCTTTTCGAAATTGTGGCGTGCAAGTTATCTTGCGCGAAAAGCAATTAATTTTCGCATTCCTGAATTATGTGTCGGTTTTAAAAGGCATCTATGCACCGGAACATTACTTTGCACTGCTAGGTTTATACTCGAAATTGAACATTTAAATATAAAATCTTTTTATAGGGTGCTATGGAACAACTGTTGGCCGTTTCCATTGGTGGCCTTTTGTTTTCGCTTTTCTCTGGTCAACCTCTCATCATACTTAGCGCCACGGGCCCAATGTTGGTGTTTGAGGGAATTCTCTACAGCTTTTGTGAGAATGCTGAATTGGATTACATGCCATTTCGAATGTGGATTGGTTTGTGGACCTCTTTCTTCTGTGTACTCCTCGTGGTCACTGACTGCAGTGCGCTGGTTCGATATTTCACTCGATTTACTGAAGAATCGTTTGCCACTCTCATCGGCTTGATCTTTATCTACGAAGGAGGAAATAAACTTTACAAATTAGCCAAAAAGTACCCGGTCCCAAATGACCAGGTGGTTATCCAATCCTGTGAATGTATGAGAAAGAGCACGACATACAATAATATAACAAACATATCAACAACGGAGTACTATTCCACAAACAAAACGATTTATGACTGCGATCTCGAGAACAAAGAGGTCATTTATGGAGATGGCTGCGGTGGTGCTGTATTCCTTCTGTCAACAATTCTTACTTTGGGAACATTTTTCTTGGTGATCAAATTGAAAAGCTTTAAAACTTCACGATTTTTTCCAACCAAGGTGAGTAATAGATAATGTGCATATTAATGAAATTATACTGTTAACCGACCGAAAACTGTGTTAAATACTTACCTGGTGTACTTACAGGCTAATTTACTTATTGACGTAACTATGCAAATATAGTATTAATCACTATATAGTCGCTGCGAAGTCTTTTGCGCGCTACATGCGCACCACGCATGTCCAATTTCCTGGTACATTTTTAATGTACTTTAAAATTCCATGATTTAAGTGGAATTTCTTTTTCAGGTACGCAAAGTGGTGTCTGACTTCGCTGTAATCATCTCCGTCATTGTAATGGTTGGCGTCGACGTTGCACTAAAAGTCGGCACACCAAAATTAAATATTCCCACCGAGTTCCGTCCAACAAACCCTGAAGCGCGTGGCTGGCTTATCACACCTCTTGGTAAGAATCCATGGTGGACTCTGATTGCAGCATCCATTCCAGCGCTGCTGACAACAATATTAGTATTCATGGATCAACAGATCACTGCAGTAATTGTGAATAAAAGGGAGCATAAATTGAAGGTATTTCCCCAGTGAACAGGAAAAAGGAGGTGGGGCAGCAGAGTTAGGTGCTTCTCTTGCCTTTACAACAAGGGCGGAGAGAGCAAAGATACCCTTTCATTTGAAGAATTACTTTCTAGATCTCGAGTGGAAGTAGAACCATCAAGCTTCTGGTGAAAAAAACTAATTTTGAAATCGAAAACACGATAATACGAAGCTCAACAAACAAAATTTTGCAACCATTATCTGACATGGCGCCGTTACAGAAGTGCCCTCACGAAAACATGCCCCCTCTCCGCCCTCTCTGCCCTCGAATCTCTTTGGTGTGCTTGAATGTCACTCTGAACGATTTCTTCCTTTGATAATCATGTTGGCTTAATCAATTCCTATCAACACCTAACAAAAACATTGCTGTAAAATTTCTTAAGTAACTTTATAGTGTACATGTTTTGCAAAACTGTGCAAGCCGTAAAACTCTGCCAGATTTTCGACATTCTGCGATTTGTTTTTTTTGCTTTTCTTTCTAGAAAGGTGCTGGATATCATTTGGATCTCGCAATCGTAGCTATTGGAATTGGGGTTAGCTCCATTCTTGGTCTACCGTGGGTCGTTGCTGCCACTGTCGAGTCCCTGTCTCATGTCCGGAGTTTGTTTGTTGAGTCCACGTGCACAGCTCCTGGAGAAAGACCAAAGTTTTTTGGAGTCAGGTTAGTATTTGTCATCACGATTACCTAGACGTCAACCCGGTGCCCTAGTTTTGCAAGGTTATCTGGTTATCTTTTTCTATAGGTATATTATGGCATTCATAACTCTTTTTCTCTTGAAAAAAAACAACTAAATCATTAAACTCAATTATATATGGTGCATTACAGAATTTTTGAAAGTGCAAGTTTGTTTTTTAGACACACTGTTGTATTAATCAATTTCCTTTTTTTACTCTGTTTCCTTTTTTACTCTGTCAATGGTTAAATAGCTATAAAAACCCACTGTACCTGTATATACTTCATTTTAACGACATATTTTGTCAATTAATTAATAATTATAAATGCAGAAAATTATATTAAATTAAATTAACATCTCCTGTTTTATTGAATGAAAATGATGATTAACGAATAATTGTTTGTTAGAGAACAACGTCTAACTGGAATATTTGTGTTTATCATGGTTGGCAACACTGTATTTTTGGGAAAATTCTTAAAGGTAAAAGCAATTTAAACATTTTTAATATTATATTGGTAAGCATTTCATAATAAGATTTATTTATTCTATTCTCGTAAAGACAGAGTGAAGGTTTTGTGCATTTTTGCACTGTAATAAAGACGGAGTTTTACGATTAATATTTTGCGCAGATTCCAGAGACAGAAGGGCCAGGCAAGGTGGCCTTTTATAAATTAAATGTGATTATATATGTAAAATCGAATTGTCGAAAATTATAGCAACTACTACCTAATGTTTTCAACGAAAAGTTATAAATCACATTTCTTACCATTTAACTACAGTATATAAATAAAGTCGTTAGATTTCCTTTGGTAGTATTACTTTTTTTCTCTTCTAACTTTCTCTAATCTTTTAGTCTGCAAAGCAACGAAGGGATCGGCTGGTATTTAATCGTTGTTAATAATGCGTTGGAATTAACTAACATTACTCCTTATTTTCTAGTACATCCCATTGCCGGTGTTGTACGGATTATTCATTTACATGGGAGTTTCGGCTCTTAGAGGTGTCCAGGTAACTATGCACACACTGTGCAATTTATGGGATAAAAAATTGTAAATATTAAGAACGGAATGGAACCAAAAAAAAATTTCACCGTAGGCCAAATATTGTTATATTACAATCTGAATAAAATTGCAAACATTGAAGAAAAAAACCTATAAAGACTTTAATAACCAATTGTATTTTAACGTATATCCAACCATTATAAATATCAATCCATTTTTGCCACCTTTTTAGTTATTCGAGAGAATAAAGATCCTATTTATGCCATTGAAACATCAACCAGACAGAGTGTATCTACGAAAAGTTCGCATCAGTCGGATTCACATTTTCACTGGAATTCAATGCACATGTTTGGTGGTTTTATGGGTTATTAAGGCAACACCTGCTGCAATCTCTTTCCCGTTAATGGTGGGTTATATTCTAATCGAATAATTTGACCAGAAATCAAAATGGAGTATTTTCGAAGGTAGTTTGTCCAGACAGAGAGTTTGGATTTATCGAGCCAGTCCATGCACCGGTGTTATTTCAAAGAAAATATTAATAAACATTTTTGCGTTAATCATTATTGTATTAACTTTGGCTGGGGTTTTTACAAAAATTGCCTTTTACAGTTGGTATATATATAATAGTAATACAATTGATGTTCTTGGGCATAAATTTGTTTCTGGCTTTCCTTAGAGCACATTTTTAAAATGAATTCAGAGTCGGGTCAAAAAATTGGAGACAGGCGGTACTCACTGCTAAAAATTGATACGAAATCAACCCATGCAATCTATTTAAAGTACTGAGTACGGAATTGATTTTGTATAGGTGTTAGCTCTTGTAGCAGTGCGTAAAGTGATGGGGAAAATATTTACAAAACACGAATTGGAGGTGCTCGATGATGTCATGCCGGAGTCAATGAAGAAGAAAATAGAAGAAGCTGATGAAATGGATGAAGATGAGATGGTGAGAAAAAAGCGATGATATTTGGTTTTAAAACATTCACTCGCATTGGCGCTGATTCAGCTGGTTGCATGTGCTATAATTATTGCAATAGGGTAGACGGATGAGTTGGAAACACCTATTATGTTGGATTTTTGGGCCATCAGTTAGTCATGCACGTTTTATGTTCACGATAAATTTGAAAATTCTTTTGTTACAAAATAAAGGGCTTGCAAACTGTAATTCAGGCATAATAAAATACACACTTAGGTTACAATTATATGCTTTTGCACACATATCAACACATTCTAACTTGTGTGCTTTCTCGCAATTCTTAATGAAGTTATTCCAAACATGATGAAAATTGTAATTACCTTTCTGTCTTTACAATATTTCCAAGAAAAATGAAGGAGAACCGGTTGCAAAGTTGGTATATAATGACAGTGGCATAAACATCACTGAAGAGGTCAAGAATTGCACAATTTGGAAATCCATGGAAAGTAACCAACAAAATGCAGATCGAAGTGACCAACCCCGCGAACGCAAAAATTCTAAACGCAAAAATAAGCATAAACACAAACACAAATATAAGCACCATCGCCATCATGGAGACGTCTCTGGCAATGACGGGAAACTCCTGAGCGTTCCCGATAAGCCGGATATGGAAACCTTAGCGAACGAAGATGATACCGATTCACAGGCAATTCCGCTAGTGATTCTTACAGCCGATGACGAAAACGACCCGTCCGGTAATGGGACTACGGAAACTACAATAAATCCAGAAAATGATGGTGAGCAACATGACAAGGACACCAAACCACTCAGACCCGTCAGTGTTTAGAAAGACATTTCACTCCGGTAAGTGCAGTTAATTCATTCAGCAAATAAAAAAGTGAAAAACATGTAAATGATGCTTTGCGTCGTCTTTCTGAGTTTGGGTCGTCTTTGAAATATTTCATCTATCTTCGCCACACGAGTCTGGCCGGCAAACTAAATAAATTATATTCGTTAGATTGGAAATTTTTCTATTCCTACTCACATTTAACACTTATTTACCCAGACCCTAGACCCGTCGATATCCCTCGATTATCGTCGATATCGACAGTCGACGGTCCACAAAATATAGTGTTTTCTAAGGTGTCGGTAAATAGGTTTTTATTATACGCCACTTGTCTAAGAAACACCAAACAACAAGTAAACAGCGAAATATCTATTCATAAATACACAATTTCAAAAGGGAGAAACAGTTAACAGTCCAAAGGTCGCATGTCCTGGCGCGCCGCAAGTGATTAAGGTTCTTTTTTCTAATGGAAAATAACGTGTTGTCTCCCTCTGCATCAAAATTTCGTCACTCTCACGTGATCGCTCTCGACCAATGAAACGCTGCGAACACCTAACTTACCAAGTGGAAAATATTAATATAGAGTCTCTTAACATACTTGAAGAGTAACAAAACTATTTTTTTTTATTTGTAGGATGATGTCTAGCCAGCTATTAATCTTAATATAAATGAAGGGAAGTTGTTTAATTTATATGGATTTTTGGGATATTCAACAACAAGCGGATAATGTACAATTTGCATTATTGAATATATTTTCTTTAAAGTTATTATACAAAAAAATTGTAAAATCGGTTACGTTTGGTTGCGTAATGGTCTAGATCTAAAAAGCGTAAGAAAGTGTAGCATTGGAAGTCTTGCATATTTTAGTTCATTTTGTGGCACAAAAGCACAAATGTATAGGAAAGCGCTATGAAAAGTGACCCAAATGTGCTGTTTTGAATTCCAAAATTCAGGTCCGAAATATATTTAGGTTGAAAGTAGTCATCGTTCACCTCCACCACAGATTTAGCGACGCTACTGTATCAATTTTTCCTTCGGGTGGGGGACTGTTTGGTAAAAATTTTCGCACGTAATTTAGCAAGGTCTTATCAGTTTTACGCATTTTAGATACATCTCAATATAGCAACCGAACTATCCAATTTTAATTTTTTTTTGTCCGCTCTTTCATTTCCGCGGATATTAATTTTCATCTTCATATTTGGTCGGAAATAAGACAAAAATAATTCAAATTGTTCATTAATCCTATATCGGTTGGGTATTAGTTTTTTGACAAATTATTAACATTGCAATGGAATTATTAAATTGTGACATTAGTAACATATGATGAAAAAGTTAACTTTGAAGTTTGCCAATAATTATAATATTATGTTAACCAAGATGTGTTCACTGCTTATTAAAATTATTATTAAAGCTTATTATTTTCATGCCAACCCTATTTTAATCATTCTCTCTCAAGGTCGATTTTATTAATTTTAAAATTCCAAATGATAATAGACCAATTGCAAAACTTAGTAACCGCACCTTCGTGCAACATGGAAACGAGGGCTATGCAAAAAACTATATTGATATTTTTTATGCAGTAATTTCAAGGCTATTCGCCGAGTTACATCCCGGTTTTCGCCTTTTTATTAAATAGTTTGATACCTTTAATCTTGGTTTCACGGTGTTATCATAGTTTTCAGGTTAGGGAGTTTTGCCTTTCAATTCAGACATTTTTGTGGTGTTTTCATTAATATTTTTGGCTGCTTTCGTCTGGGGAAGACCGACGCGAACTCAGGTTATTTCCTAACCTTTTCGCTTCAAGTTTTGAAAATTTATCTCATTTTTCTTCCTCTTATTTGTACAAAATTTGGCGATAAGTATTTGGTGCAAAATATATGTTTTTGTGACAAAATTTTTTTGGAAAGGTACCGTCAGATTATATTATTTTCACACCTGAAATGGTTTCATTAATTCAAACTTACTCACAAATATCACTGTGTATTTTATCTTTATACAACAGAAACGTCTGTATTCAAAAAGCTCACACTAATTGAGTGTGACATTTTGTTAATGCCGATCAATGAGAAAGTTTTTTTCTGAATAGATGGGAAAATATAAAGTAAATTACAGAAAATCAAGACCGTATTCGGCTTGAAATACCATGCACCATTTCATGAAACGTTATGCATGAGAAGATTAAGATCTCCCACTCAATGAGTTTGCTGAGTTTTAGAATACAGGCATAATACGATATTAACGGTTAAACGTAACTGAATGAACTGTTTTTGTTAATGTTTGTTGTCGGTAAAGTACAGACGATGCATGGCTTACATGCCGACGTGAAGGACGAAGAAAACTAATTTTATTAAAAAGTTGAATTCGAAGGCATCTGAAGTTCTGTATATTTTGTCTCACTACAAAACACTATTTCTAACTACTACTGTGCAATAGCTGTATAATAAGGGTTAGCTAGAAACACGTGAATAGAAAAGGATTCCATTCACCATCGTAAAAGGAAAAACACTTGCGAACTTCGGGTTTAATTTTCGCCTTCGGCTTTGCCATAATGTTAATGTATATTTTGAAAAACGCTGCTGCTCACATTGTGGCTACATTTATAGCATAATATTGTGGGAAAAGGGATAATAAATGGAATTTGAAATAAAATGATAATATATCTTGGTTATGAGTATTTTACTATCCATGTCATGTGTGAAAATTTGAAGAGTTGTGTTGCTTTTCAGTCGGCATCACATGTAAAAAATTATTCAAAGGGAAAATAAACCAAAAACGTCGTATATTTTGCCTTTTATAGTTTCTGTCAACAGTTTTTTTCTATTAAATGAAAAATGAAATTATTATAATTAACACGCAATCGAAATAAAATCTACGTCGCTTTTATTTGTATCTAAATATCTCTATCGGATTTAAAATATTTTGTTCATGGTCATCAAAATTGTTTTTTCGTTTTAAAAACGTATAAAAAATCGCGATAAATCCTACGATTTTAAAGACTGGTTTCAATCTTAACTCATACAAGGTAAATGAGCAAGCGGGAAAGCAGGAACGATAAAAAATAAATTTTGTGCTGTAGTTTTGTTTTCCAAATTTGCAATTTAATCACGCCACTCCAAATAGCATGATCAAATACTGGATTGAGGGTATAAGGCTAGAATGAGACTAATAATACAATAAAAATCTGGCGTAACGTGAAGCAAATGATTCATCCGTTTCAATCCACAAAGGTGTTTACTGATTTTACCCGAAATCTATTCATCAGGGTAACTTCAAGACACTCGAAATTTTTTGACTTCCTTTACTTTGTTTCCGGCCATTTGCACACTTTCGGAAATTTCAGTATCACTATACATTTTTTTTCTCTGCCAAATAACATAAACTCTTCACTCATTTAAACTGCAATAGGAAGAACTGGAGGAAGAATAACAAAAAGTATTGTGAATTGTGGTTCTGGGATGATAAAATCCATCTCCCTATATTCGACCCTCGACCAAAACCCAAACTCTATTCAACTGGGGCCGGTTGTATAAAACTCTTAACTACGGATTAACTACTTTTTAACCACCCAATTAACTGTAGTTAAAACGTAGTTACCTTTAATCACGTAGTTAAGCCAGTTGTATAAAACCGTAGTTAGCGTTAACTGTAGTTAAAATCTAGTTAAAGTTAGCTATCCTCAAGGGCATCGTTAACTTTCCAAATCGTAGTTAAAAATAGCGTCATTTGGGCAGCAGCGGAGTATATTCTTGCTTCGGGAGACGTGTCCATGCCAAAATACGATCCTAGCAAAGATTAGCTATCTCCATTTTCAATTGAAACCAGTATTTTGACTCAAAGGGACCTTTTTTATATGAAGAGCGCCATTTTCGTTGAATTAAATTGAACTTTTTCCTTGTTTTATTGCATTTTTTACAATATTTTAAATCAAAAATTTCAAAATTCTGTAATTTTTTGTAAATATGAGTCCACAGTCTTGTTCAAAATCAATAATGGCGGTCAATAATTTCGCGATACTTCATGCTATTTCTCTGTTTAACAACCCCACGCAAGCTTCACGCAAGTTAACTACGTGATTAGTTAATCATCCGACAAACTACGTTTTGTGCAACGCAGTTAAGTCGTGTAGTTAACTAATCATAGTTAAGTATTTAAGTACAGTGATTAGCGCTAATCATAGTTGAAGTTAACTACGTTTTTATACAACCGGCCCCAGTAGGCTACAACTACAAGTTTCGTGGATTTGTTAATGTAGGCAAGCGGGCGGGTTTCCCGCGTTTAGTTAAATTATGCCATGCATAGATAATTATGGCATGTTGTTGACTTTCGAGTTATGCTTTTCGAAGAGTGCAGACATTGCAGGCTGTTTTATGATTATTTTGATTTGTAATGCTCAAGAAATCAATTAATATTTAAAATTTACAACAACAAGCTGTTTAAAACTTTTTAAAAATATTCTCCATTCTATTGATGCCCTACAGTTTTTTCGTAAATCAGAAATTGGTGGTAGTATGAGTAAGTAATGCTGTGTATGATTCTTGCCCATTTTGCTCATTTGCACCAATACTCTCTTGAATGGTCTTTCCACCCAATATGTCCAACTCATCGTCAAAGATTTTCGAAAAAAAGAACTCAGCGACGAAATAACGGTATCCATTGTAAGTTACCAACAACATTAGAGCTACAATGGACCGAGGTCCGGGATCTTGTGTATCCACATTTGGTTTTATGGTTAAGACCTTGTATGTAGCTATGGTTGAGCCAAGCAGAGCCATCACAAAATTTTGCAAGACATAATATACCGCCAAAGCTGCTTTATACAGCCAGTATTTGAGAGTCGAAAGTCGACCACCGGTCCAAAACCTAAAAAACAAAAAAAGCCATTTTAAACGTATCTTACAAAAGAGGTTTGATTCATTATACAGGGGCCAGTTGTTCAAAGCTAGGTTAGCGCTAACCTAGCGTTAAATATTAATTCATTTTTTTGGTTCATGTGTTTCTAAACCACTGTTCGTTTTAGAACTTAAAAAAAAAAATTCTATACGTCTAAAAACTCTTTTTGAAAAAAGATATTCAACTTTAATTAATGTAAAAATGTAAAGATTTGCTTTAACCCAGGGTTAAGCTAACCAGCTTTTTTTTTGTTTATGTCCATTTGCAAAAACGTTGGCCGCAGATAGATTGATAGATAGATACTCGAAGTCTAATTAGAATTGCATATGAATACATTTGCATGGGATTTCAATCATATTACACAACATATGGAATTCTAATTAGATTTCGGGTAACTATCTATATATCTACCTGCGGCCAACGTCTTTGCAAACGGGTATATATATATATATATATATATATATATATATTTATATATATATTATAATTATTAATATATATTTATATTATATATATTTTATATATATTATATATATATATATATATATATATATATATATATTATAATATATATATATATATATTATATATATATATACACCCATTTGCAAAAACGTTGGCCTCAGATAGATAGATAGATAGATACTCGAAATCTAATTAGAATTGCATATGTTGTGTAATATGATTAAAATCCCATGCAAATGTAATCATATGCAATTCTAATTAGACTTCGAGTATCTATCTATCTATCTATCTGCGGCCAACGTTTTATATATATATTATATATATATATATATATATATCAAGTACAAAAATATCAACATTTGCAGAAGTAACTGCATAACGACATGTAAAAGGACGAAACTCTGCATTGTCAATAACAACTTAAGTAAAATCACAGTCGTTCCCAACTTGGCCTTGTAGCTCAGTCGGTAGAGCATCGTTCTAGAAATGCGAAGGTCGCGGGTTCGATTCCCACCGCGTTGAAGTAGAATTTTCTGCTTGCCCGGTTGGTTATACTTGTGCAGAAGAACAAATACACCTTACATATATATCCACAAGTGAACACATGGCTCAATTGAGAGCAAAAGTACAAAAATATCAACATTTGCAGAAGTAACTGCATAACGACATGTAAAAGGACGAAACTCCGCATTGTCAATAACAACTTAAGTAAAATCACAGTCGTTCCCAACTTGGCCTTGTAGCTCAGACGGTAGAGCATCGTTCTAGAAATGCGAAGGTCGCGGGTTCGATTCCCACCGCGGTGAAGTAGAATTTTCTGCTTGCCCGGTTGGTTATACTTGTGCAGAAGAACAAATACACCTTACATATATATCCACAAGTGAACACATGGCTCAATTGAGAGCAAAAGTACAAAAATATCAACATTTGCAGAAGTAACTGCATAACGATATGTAAAAGGACGAAACTCCGCATTGTCAATAACAACTTAAGTAAAATCACAGTCGTTCCCAACTTGGCCTGGTAGCTCAGACGGTAGAGCATCGTTCTAGAAATGCGAAGGTCGCGGGTTCGATTCCCACCGCGGTGAAGTAGAATTTTCTGCTTGCCCGGTTGGTTATACTTGTGCAGAAGAACAATACACCTTACATATATATATTATATATATTATATATTATATTATATATTATATTATTATTATATATATATATATATATAATATTATATAATTATTATATTATATTATATTATATATATATATATATATTATATATATATATATATATATATATATATACATACTATATTATATATATATATATATATATATATATTAAATATATATTATATCTATATATTATCTATATATATATCTATTATATATTATATTATATATATATATATATATATAAATATATATATATATATATATATATATATATATATATATATATATATATATATGTTTTAGAAAAAAATATTCAGGATATATTAGGGAGACATTTAAGTTGACACCCTTGAAATTTCAAGAACAGATTCTGCAGAATAAAGGAATTATTGGCATACCAATAAAGAACTTATTGCTTCCTGCACTTGAGATTTAAGCAGATTAAATACTTCAGTTTGACGCGCGGGTAATTTCCCTGGAATTCTGATGACATATAGGTAACGCGTGGAAGAGCGGAGATGAGGGTCAGTATAGATAAAGAGCAAAATGTGCTGCCAATTCATTCTGCTCCTCGCTTCGACAAGGTCATTACAGATAGAATTTCAATTTTTTGACACTTCTGTGAACAGGTAACTATCTCTATATTTATTCTTATTAGAAATAATTTAGAATGTCTTTTGGCTTTCCCAATATTCTAATTTTGGGTCATTCTTTTGTCCGTCGCTTACGGGATGATTTAAAGGCTAATTTCGATTCCCGCGCATCCCAAAATTTCCATATTCCCGAATTGGGTTATGTCACTATGCTGGGTACAGGTGGCCGTACAGTTGAAAAAGTGATTCAATTTGATCTTTCCTATGTCCGATCTGCCAAACCTGACATTATAATTCTCGAGTTGGGCACAAATGATCTGACTACACACGCTCCTGAGGTAGTAGGATGGAGGCTTGAAGAGCTCGCTCGCCTACTTCGCGACGAATTTCACGTTCGCGTCATTGGGGTGTGCCAGGTGATTGACTGCAACATCGCCATAACGCGGGAATCTGATAGTGTTTTAAACACCAAGGCCGCTCTTTTGCGCCAGTACTTGTCCGTGGTCCTTGCAGAGGAGCAGGGTATTTTTCTATGGGAACATCGAGAATTTTTCAATCCCGCCCGCGTGTTCTTTTATTCACGGACGGCGTTCATTGTAACACAAAAGGGCAATATTGTTTGTATAGGAGCTATCGCGGGGCTATTTTGAAAGCTCTGGCACTGTTGTAGTTCATTTATCATGTGTATATTATGCATATATTTGATTATATATGTGTGTATATGTTTTTCTGTATATCTCTTACTACGCTCTTGCGTCAAACTAACTCAGCCGATGCACCGTGGGGCGACACTCACTGGGAACTGTGGATAAGGGCGCAAAATTTCAATCATTCACGCTTCACTAAAATACAGCCACCTACACGTCATCAATGGTCTAATTCGCCAGCGTCAGTTCCTGCCCTCTTTGTTCCCAGGGGATTTTGTCGCAAGTTCCATCGGGGCGGCGATTGTCCGGGCTGTAATTTTAAACATCAATGCTTTAAATGTGGCATAGTTCACTCCGCCTTCCGATGTAATTTTCGTCTCTCACGCTCAAATTCGCAGTCAACCCCTGCAGCGCCCAAGTCCCGTTCTGCCAACACCAGTACAAATTAATAAACTCTTCCCTCTACTATATGGATATGATGTGCGATTGACATCTATGTTATATAATGGTTTTCAATTTGGTTTTCCCCTTCATTTTAAAGGAATTCGTATATCGTTTTTTGCAACAAATCTCGTTTCGGCCCTACAGAACCCGGAAATAGTTAATGCTAAACTTTCGAAAGAACTAGCGGCGAATCGCATTGCTGGGCCCTTTGACAATCCCCCTTTTTCCAATTTTCGAGTCTCTCCGTTAGGCGTTGTTCCTAAGAAAACTCCAGGGGAGTACCGTTTGATTCACCATTTGTCATTTCCGAACGGTGCTTCTGTTAACGATGGGATTGCTCCCGAGCATACCTCTGTGAACTATGCTCGTGTCGATGATGCAGTTTCTATGATCAAGCAGCTTGGGCGCGGCTGTTTTCTTGCGAAGACAGATATCAAAAGCGCATTTCGTATTATACGCCCTGCCGATTACGATCTCTTGGGTATTTTTCGGCAAGGCAAATATTATTATGATCGAGTTATGCCTATGGGGCGTGCGTCGTCATGTCGCACTTTCGAGATGTTTAGAACTGCTATCGAATGGGTTGCTAAGACACACTTGTCAATCGCACATCTAATCCACATTCTCGATGATTATCTAATGGCCGCACCTACTTATCACCAATGTCGCATTGATCTTGTTCGCTTTTTGTCTCTCTGTGAACACGTAGGCGTGCCAATCGCTCCAGAAAAAACGATCGGCCCACACAACGAATTTACTCATTGAATTAGATACTTTGCGCATGGAAGCCCGCTTACCTTTGGATAAAACTGACAAATGCAAGCAATTGATATCGGCTTTTCTTTGTCGCAAAAGGGTCACATTACGCGAGATACAATCTTTAACCGGTTTACTCAATTTTGCTTGTTCAGTCGTTGTCCCTGGGCGGGCCTTTCTCCGACGTCTTATTGATTTAACTAAGGGTGTACGGTGTGCTCATTATTTCATTCGCCTAACTAAATCGGCAAAGGCTGATCTCGAAATTTGGCAGTCGTTTTTAGCCAATTTTAATGGCCGATCGTTTTTTCTCCATGACATGTGGAATGACAGACTCTGCTAGACTTAACCTGTACACCGATTCCGCGGCTAGCCTCGGCTACGGCGCGCTTTTTGGTTTTGAGTGGTGTTACGGTACCTGGCCCAACAATTGGAAAACTTTTAACATAACGATTTTGGAATTTTACCCATGCAATCGTATTAAGCGTTCTTCTATGGGGAGACCAGATGCGTAACTAGCGTATAACTTTTTTCACTGATAACAAGGCTACTGCTCGTGATGTGACTGTTATGGTGTTTGTTCGCCGCCTGGTGCTGGCTTGTTTGCAATTTAATATTCTCTTTCACAAATGTTTTGGCTGACTCCTTATCTCACTTGCAGGTTTCGAAGTTCAAACGGCTAGCTCCGGTGGGCGTTCGGCCAACACCGACAGTCATACCGCCTCACCTTCAACCACACAAATTTGGTCGCTATTACCTCGCGGTTAATTCAATCTAGTTTGCAGCCATCGTCAATCCCTACCTATCGCAGGGCATGGAAACTCTACAATCAGTTTTCATCTACAGTTTTTCAATCTGCTTCAGTCAACCTGCCCATATCGCCTTCAGACTTGGGTTTATTTATGGCATTCATGTTTCAGCGCCATTATGCAGCTATGCAGCGCCATTATGCTGTTATTGTAACCGTTTAGCGGGCGTGCATGACCCTACGAAGGTATTTTGGGTTCTCGAAATGTTGAAAGGATATGGTAAGCTTGGCTCCGGTGTTGATGCACGCCTTCCAATCACTATTTCTATCCTCCGCACAATTTTGCAACAGACTTCTCTCGTTGCATCTAGTGAATATCACGCACTTTATTTAGGGCAATGTGTACGACAGCCTTTTTTGCCTTATTGCGGGTTGGTGAAATAACGAGTTGCCCACGGTCTCCAGGGGTGCCTCAATTATCTCAAGTGGTTCAGCTTTCCGAATTGGTGCAGCTACTTTCCCTGCGGAATGCGGTTTTTCTGACGCCCAAATCAGAATAATGGGTAGGTGGAAATCTGACGCATTCCGCAAGTACATTCGTAGTCCGAACTTATCTTCGCGACCTATGTCGCATCCTATGTCGACATGAGTCATTTGTTACCGTGCCTGGCTGGGGTTGACCTTGGCTGCACACTTCTTAGTTGACCTTGGCTGCACACTTCGTATTAATTTCGTTATATCCCACATTAGTTGCTACTACGATAACTACAATGTGACTCATTGGTAATCGTGCGCAATGCTGATACAGGGGTAAAGCTCGCGCTTCTCTATCTCATGTCACTATTTCCATATTGGCGACTCCGGGTTGCAGATACTCGGCCGGTCAATGCAGGGGCACAACTGGTTGGAGATCAGTACCTTTTCCTTACCGCGATTCTTATATGTGTGTTTCTTATGTGCATGTTTTATATATTATTTGTTTTGCTGATTTACAAGTCTGTCTGTGGATACCTTGTCATGACGGGGTGGGGTTTGTCCCTTTACCCAAGGCGGCTTGTGGCGTTTAAATTAGCCCCACCTTTTCTGGGCGAATTGCTTAGTGATTGAATTTATTATCTGTCGATTAATAATTAATTTGTTGTTAATTAAAAATTAATATATCGGCATGTGCGTTAGACAATTACGCACATTGCCAAAACTATTCCAACTCTGTGTCTGAGTTGTTTTTGTACGAGATCTAGAACACAGAAAACAGAGCTCGTCATAACAAGGTATCTTTTAGATATGAAGCTAATGAAGGGCAGCGATAAATGGTGATTTTTGTGTATAAGACCACCTTAATTGGCTTTCGGTGTTATATTCTGGGGCTACAGTCAGTTGTTTAATTGTTATATTGCATTTCGAACCAATATCCGGCCAGTCAATTCTCAATCGTTTTATAGTCCCTTTTCAATCGATCTACAGCCTGATTCCAATCGCATTTATGTACGGACGGTCGTTTTTAGTTCGACTGTGTTATCCCAGCGACCAAGGGCGTCAATCCTGGGGGGGGGACGCGTCCCCCCCAGTTTTTGGAGTTGGAGGGACGAATATCTAATAATCCCCCAAATTTTTATCATGTTTAATGAAATTTTGTTCGTTGCATGAGGCAAAGGTTACTTATCGGAGTATGGAACATGCAGTGCCTTATTGTTTCCCCAAGTGCTGGTTCTACTGAAACTTCTACTAGTGTGTCCAGTTTCGTCATGTGAGTGTGAACGCAGCTTTTCTGCATTGCGACGACTGAAAACGTGGCTCCGAACCACCACGACCCAGCGTAGACTTAACCATATTTCTATCTGCCATGTACACCAGGAACAGTTAGACAACGTCGATGTACATGAACTAGCAAAATTATTTGCTAAAAAATCCGAAATTACAAGAAATCTATTCGGGTAGCATACCTCTTGACCTTCCTAATTTGGAGTCCGCCCCCCCCCCCACTTTTTGGGATGGATTGACGCCCTTGTCAGCGACGAGTACGTGTTTTTTACTAGTCTATACGTGCAGTGGCATACGAGACGCGATAATTGGGGGGAGAAGGCACATATTCATATATTAATTTTGTGCAAGAATAATTATTTTCTTTTCACATCAATTGTTAGGTCTGTTAACATGAATATATGAATATGTACCAATTATCGTGTCTCGTAAGCCACTGAGCTTATATCTGTAGTATCATTGTTTTATATTAAATCGTCAGAAATATTGTTATCAGAATCTTCTGTCGAATTGGTTATCACGCACCCGTCTATCTTTAGTATTCATATTCTGTTCAAACGAAAGCTATATTACTTAACAGAAAACTGCCTAGCTTAAGGCCCCACCCCATAAATGGTGTGTGTCATTACCTGGGTAAGAAGTTGAGAAAAAGCATCAGCGCAACAGTAAAAACTTTCTCCGTGATGAATAATATATACGACATGGTCTTCCATGTTTGTGGCTCATTTGACATCACGTAGATGTCATACACGACAACAACCGTTAGCACAAGATTGATCTTATAGAAATATTTTTTCTTATACAAATGACCAACAACTTTTCGGGTACCAGCAAACGCTGGTGAACGGTAAATAGTATGGTATATCAGGAAGAAGGAATTCGCAGAACTAAACAATAGCCAGAGAAATTGAAACGATTCAGGTGCCGAGAACAGATGGAAATTGTTGCAAAATCCAGTTGTACGAAACTCGCGAAAGAAACAATCAACAGCCCAAATGGTGAATAGGATAATTCCAATTAGTTGCCCAGTTATGAGAACGAGGAAAAATAACCAATTGAAATGTGGAGGACAAGTGATCGCGGACAGCCGAGGGAATCTGAATGGCGACGGCTTTCGACGAACAAGCACTGGTTCCTGTGAAAAGATAATGAATACACAATTAAAGCACTGTTTACACCTGAAGCAAACCCATGGGTTTGAACAATTTTATCAAGGGTGAACAGTCTCACCCAGATTACGAAAATACAGGGATAAAGGCTGTGTTATACGACGTAATCTTTCTAGCAACTTATAATCCAACTCAACCTTTAAGAGATATGTCAATTTGGAAACTACGAAACTTTTGTGTTTAATACCACTTCATGGATATATTGTCTCATACATATGTACTTTACGAAACTGACTTTCCAAAGGAGAGCAGTATAGAGTGCATGTGTGCTGGGACTTTGTATTGGTACACTAAAAATAAGCCTGAACACTGAAAATTTATGTAGGAAACCAGAACCGGTTTTAGACGCGCCGTGCAAAAAATGATTGTAGTCTAAAGGAGTTTGAGGCAAAGACTGATACTATGTAGCTTTCAGTGACATTTTACTTCTGCTATGATAATAATTGTTTAAATATTTTCTTTACTGTGGAAAAAATTAAAAAGAAAATAATAGAGATATTACTTAAAATTTGCAAAGAAGTTCTCAAAGCTGTTTTTTCATGTGACATGCATAATCCGCCGTAATTCACATGTTTCGAAAGTTAAGCTTAATATATCATCAATAGGCATTTATGTCCTCTGGGGCTATTTAAAGCAGCAGAATTGGGAAGCTCCTCATGACCAACAACCTCAAAACTTTCGGAGAACTTCGCGAGAATATTGTTAGGTCATCGGTCGCATTTCGATGGCCACATGATTCAAAGGTTGTTTGATAGCATGCTAACGCACGCAAGAAAGTGTGTTGTTGATAGTGGACTTGGATTTGCAGTTGAATAAGAAAAAGTAAAAAACGGGTATTTATATATATATATATATATATATATATATATATATATATATATATATATATATATACATATATATATATATATATATATATATATATATATATATATATATATATATATATATATATATATATATAATATATATAATTATATATATATATATATATATACACCCGTTTGCAAAAACGTTGTCCGCAGATAGATAGATAGATAGATACCCGAAATCTAATTAGAATTGCATATGTTGTGTAATATGATTGAAATCCCATGCAAATGTAATCATATGCAATTCTAATTAGATTTCGAGTATCTATCTATCTATCTATCTGCGGCCAACGTTTTTGCAAATGGGTGTATAATATATATATATATATATATATATATATATATATAATATATATAATATACATATATTTATATATATAATATATATATTATAATATATAATATATATAATATTATAATATATATATATATATATACATATATATATATATATATATATATATATATATATATAAATATATAATAATATATATATACAGGTATTGTTTTTGCATGCGCTCTCCCTGGTACAGCCGGCACATTTTGCGGGCTCATGTAACATATTTCAAGAACAACAATGGACACATAAAACGTTAAAAACATTGTTTACGTTTCCGACAATTCTTTAGAGCCTAATTCTAGCTAGCGCTCGCTGGGTTCTGAAATGCTGACGTTATGCATAGGACGTAATAAACGACGTTTTGCCGTTGTAAACAGAACGTAGTTACGTAGATCACGTCTAAAACTCCATAGGTATTTAATAACTCATTTCTTTTCAATGAAGCATTGTAATGATACCTGCCGTCGTCGTGTTCCCGTCCTAAATGCTTATAAGGTCCCTAATGTCGAATAAACCCACCGCACAACTCAATACCAGAAGTCTAAGACATGGTGATTGCATATATAAACTAATTACTCCGGTGTCAGCGACGGGGTTGAAAATTCGCATCGGTTTTGTTTTTGTTTTTTTTATTTTTATTTTTTTTTTATTTTTCGTCGTCGCAAGTCTGCAATGGCGCGAAATACGTTAGTATTTGAAATGTGTATGTGATGGGATTTATCTACGTCCCAGTCCTGTCTCCTAAGAGCTGTGGTGCACAGCTTTGGCTAATTTTCCGATGCGCGATTCGATTTCGCTCGCATGATACGGCAATTCCTCCAAGAGGAACAAATAAACCGTTCTTTTGATGCTGTTCGATTAAGTTTAGACTGAATTGGGGTAAGAATATAATTATTTAATAAATGTAGATTCTGGTCCTATTTTAATAATATCGCTGCTATTTCGCCGTTTAACAAGATGTGGCAGTGTATGGGCGCGTTGACACGTCGCAGTTTGCACAGGATTGAAAATTTAATATAACTATATAAGCACGAATTCCAAAGGCAAAGTGTAAGACAAAATGAACGTATCATGTGGTTTATTTACATAATTGAACAATTGAACTTCTGAGTTCTATACTTTTTAAAGTACGATGTGCTTCTGAATTTCGCGATCGAACAACATTTATGTTCGCAAGGCATCTAAATGAATATGAACTGTATTGTTTTAGCCTGTGCACAGACGCTCGCTCCCCGATTTTGAGAGGGAGCGTTGCGTCTGTGCACAGGCTATATTGTTTATGTTCATGCAGAAGCTTTATATTGAAGACTGGCACGTGCGCGGCACGCCGGAGTTAACGCCAGAACAGGCGTCTTGTTTGCTTAAAATTTCAGCATGCAATAATGGCTTTAATCTTTACTATAGAATAAATATAGCTAAAGTACTACACCTAAGATTGCCGTTGCCCCGGATGTTGCCCACTGTTTTCCGACCTCTGGATTAATAGTTGTCAATAATTGTATGGTTTAACTGCCTGATGAGACTGATAATATTTTTTCAAAGTGACTGCAGAAAAAATCCGGATCCTACAGGAAAATTTATATCAGAAACACGAAAGACAATAATAGCTTTAACAATTTTTTTTGGTATGATTATACACGTCAATTCATCTACAATGCGAATCGAAATGTTCGAATGAATGTGAGCGTTTTTAGTCGTTGTGAAAAAGGTCCGTTGAGAGGATATCGCAAGAATTTGAAGCGATATATTCTTAAATTTGGCAGACTGCAGAAATACCCAAGATAAAAGATTTGATTACAAAAATGTTTCTAAACAGCTGTTCTATCCATTTAGAGGTCGGCCGTCGGCAAACAGTGCATGCTGCAAGTCTGTGGCTATATAGCTTGATCTCGACGAAATATATAGCTATAAGGCTATATATGTTTCATCTTTGTACTTAGGTATATGTGTATTTTGAAGGCCATCTTTAGGTATTTGTATGTAAATGCATATATATCTGCAAAATGTATTAAAATATTGTAGACTAATAGTTTTACCAGCGGTGAATGAACAATTGAAAGTGATATGTTTTTATAGACAACATGCTACGCCGGAATTGTACATGTCAACGGGATTACGTTTCCGCATTCCGTTGCATAGGGCTACTAGAGTTTTTGCTCTCCTACAAACTAGAAATGGATATACCTGTTTGTTTAACTGCTCATGATCATCAGACAAATATTAAAAAAACAACACAAGAAAACCTATTCCAATGACTTGTTGCTTGTCTCGACTAGCTATATTCTGACGTTGTTATAGATATACAAGCAATGGAGATTAAGTTAGCCATAGGGCTGTTTACATTGCCCCCTTAACTGAGGTTAAACGAAGCGTACGATGACTTGACGTATTGAAATGAGTAAATAAGATGACCCTAAAGTATAGTTGTGATTTCGAAGTAGTGCTAACAATATAATGTGCTTGTTCTGTTTCAAAAAGATACCTCAAAATCATCTTATATACGCTTCGTTAAATCTCGGGTAACTGGGAAAATGTGAACAGCACCTTAATGATTTGTCCCATGCCATGTCTATACGCATTGGCCCGACTTATACTAACCTGACGAATTTGGCAAGCGAAAGATAGTTTGTCTCCCAGTTCGTCCGTGTGTTATTGACGGATAAACTGTGAGCCACACGGCACACACTCACTTATAACTGATATGTAGACGAAGTCTGGCTTTAATATTGCCGTTAATCAAACGTTCGTTTGGGGGACACCATATTCATGTATTCTGTTATGCCAGGCTTATTTCTATTGAAAGTAAAGTTGTTTTCAAAGGAAATTAGCCAGGCATAGCAGAATATACGAATATGGTCCCCGTCAATTACCGTTGGATTGACGCTGCAAATGATTGAGTTGTTAGCCTCTGTTTATCCTTAGATAAATTACTTTTGCCTACAACTTAACCAAAAATCCAACAATTTGAAATAAGAATTATGGTTTAGGACAGATTGCAACTCGAAATCCCCACGAACTCACCAATTCTGAATCACTGCCAGTCATTCTTGCGGCCAACTCCCGAGAAATTGAAATACAATCCTAACCAATGTCTTGTTTATTACAACAGTTATAAAATATGGATGTAAAATATGCAGAACAATTAGCAACTGCGATCCAGCCGGTATTTTTTCGGCTTGAAAAAATTCACGTTTTGCGGAAATCTGGAAGAGTGATGTAATCAATAAAGGAAGTTCACAACTAAGTCTAAGTGTAATATTTACAATCATGCAGTAGCGTGCCGAAAAATTTGGAGATAATTAGCATTCTACTTCCGCCAAAATTCAATATGATATATATTAAAACATACTCGTAGCAGAACCGACATACATACTTATACCGGCAAAATATAACCCTGATAACTTCAATTTACCTGAAGTTACACGGAACGTTGCAAGCGAGGTTGCAAAGAGAGCGCTAACAACTTATAAAGCTGTAATCAAATAATATCTCAACAAAGATCCAAAATGCATGGCTATGTAAATCTGCATATTACATGTCGCGATTTCTGTTCAGATTACAGAAACACATCTTGGTCGAAGAGGCTTGGTCGCATAGAATAGAATGAGGCAAAAATTTAAGAAAACATGGCGAGCGCCGGCAAATGCATGTATTCATGAAACCTTGATTCAAGAAGCTATAAACTTTTCACTAACCAAGATTTAGATCAATTTTTCACAAACATAACATTTGGAAAAGGAAAAAAACACGCTATTCGTCATATTATTAATGGTAGAGATATAATCGCCGTCCTGCTGACGGGTTTACCATTTGGTGACTTTGGTCTGGAAAATCTCTAATATTTAAGAAATAGAAAACATTTTCCGTGTTTCTATACAGTTTTAGTATACACCCGACTATTGTCTATTACAAATCCTACATTCTGATTGGCTACTCAACCATCGTCTATTCGTGATAGTGCACGTTTGGGAAAAATTCGCTCGCGCGACCGTATAAAATTGCATTAATTAAATTATTTTTCGGTGTAATTTTGCGGTGTATCGATTATTTTCTCGAAATTAATATATCTAGGTACAGGGTGTATACTAAAACAATTAGACAACTCGCCTTCGTTGCCTATGAGCGGATAGTCAACTCAGGCTTCGCCTTCGTTGACTATTCGCTCATAGACAACTCGGACTCGTTGTCTAATTGTTAAATAGAAACACGCGTGGGAGTTTGGGAGAACGATAATTGCAATATTCAGACTTCTTATACAGTATATATAGGTATGAATAAGGATGCGCCAACTTGATTCAGTTAAGGATTACTGAGTGGTTCATTATAATAGGACCTGAACACATACTGGCAGTGCCAGAATAAGTCATCACTGATGATCCTCAGCAAGGATTGTTGTCATGCTTTGAAAAACATTATTTCAATTATTCAGGCAAAAAAGCCAGCTCCCAACAGTCCAATATTATTTTAGTTTTATAAATGCTCTGCAAAATCCAAAATTCATATAAAATTGAAAAATATGGCAATCCTTCATGTACCCCAATACATTAGACCATATGCATAAACTATCAAAGTCTGTGATTCCCTTCGATGATTATAAGCTAACAGTATACTATACTTGGCGTGCATACTGCTACAGTCACCACTCAAATCCAATTATGTACATGAATTTTTTTCATTGATTGCATTATTAAAACAGAGTTGGGGAAGAGAACCTGTCTAACAAAAAAACTGTGTTGGTTATGGTATTTGCTTTGTTGGTTAAATAATGAAAATGACACTAGTGAATGAGCCAAAGTGATATCCGAGCTGAAACAGGTCAATAGAAACATGGTCAGCCAATAACCAATCTCAATAAAAATCATCAGTAATTGACTTCCGCTGATTGATTCTTTATTTTCTATTTTATTTAAGATTTTCTATTTTTGATTTTCTATTTCAGGTGTAAGTGTATAACATGGAGAAATAGCTGTTTTATATACTTTCCCTTAACCAGTACATACTATCCATATTATTACCTGAAATTGTGGCAAAGGAGGCGAAATGACAAAAGGGATCTTGCGTCATGATTGAGACGGTGAATTTAGATCACTTACAGGAAATCGACTTTTGCAAGAAATCGAACAAGATATGCCAGGCGCTCCCCGTCTTACCGCAATCTTCCCATCAACACCCTCGCGCTCCACGCTTCGCTGGGTGCATTATGTAAGCCTACTATATGCCATCCCTCACACAGCAAGCCCAAGCCAAATATGCATTTTTAATACATAAGAGATGCCTGGGGAGGAGGCTATAATGAATAGATATATTGGATTTATCTTAATACCAGATTTAATACTTGACAAGCTGACATATAATCAAAAGTACTTTGTCATACTCACATCGAATGTAAACTGCATGAGGCCTGAACAATTGTGTTTTGTTTATTACAAAATTTATATCATTATAAATATTGCTAAGAATCTGAAATGCTAAAAATCAATGTGGGTATAATTATTCTGAGTATAATCAAGTACTTTGATACTCCACCAGTGATCAATAACTCATTAACTATCCCTCATTACTCAAATATGCTTGTGATATGGTTATAATATTTTAAAGTATTGAGGCAGAACTTCTGTAAAATCTTTGAAACGCGAAAAGTTAGCGAAAACATGGTCATGCGTGGTCTTGGGGTTACGAGGTTAGAGACGCTGGTTTAGAACTACCATGATTTAGTTGGGTGGCGGACTGAAATTGTAACGATAATCGGGGGGGGGGAGTGCATGTTTATTCAAAATTAAAAACTTTTCGGACTCCATTAGAATGCTATTGCACTTACTAAAGAAATCTGTCGGGCAGAACTGAATATATGAATGAACACCCCCCCCCCCCTTCCATTATCGTTCTGTTCCCTAGCAAATCAAAAGAAGATAGATATGATAAAACGCGAGTTTGAGTGTTTTAAATATTACTTAGCAGGTGTTGAAGTAGATATCATATGATATGAGAATTTTGTTCATGATCATCTTCATTCTAAGCACCCATACTCTTTTCTATCGTATTGCCGCCTTATATCCAATTCGTCACCAAATATTTTAGAAAGGAAAAAATCTGCGAAAAAATAACGGAATCCGTTATTTGTTACAAGAAACATCAAACCCACAACTGCTTTCGATCCAGGATTTCGAGTTTCCACATCTGACTCTACGCTCAGGACCTTGTATGCCGCTATGGTTGAACCAAGCAACGCGATCATAGCATTGTGCAAGACATACATCATCAAAGCTGCTTTATAAAGCCAGTATCTGAGTAGCGATTGTCCACCAGTCCAAAATCTGGAAAAAAAACTACTATCAGAAAACCCCGTGAACCATGGGAAATATTATTTTGAAGACTAATATATGCTCAAAGCAAACAGCAAAATTATTATGTCCAATTAAATAAAAAAATCATTTGTAAATTTAATTACGGCGTTGCTTTATGAATAGAACGTTATATTTTACAATTACACTGGGAGCTTGAGTTCTACACAGGCTGAGAATCGACGATGTTTATGATTTAGGTACTAGCTATATAAATGATATAAATACTATTTTATCAGCCAAATAATATATACCCTAAAATTTTAACTAGACCGGCAATTTAGGAGCCCGTAACAAACACAGGTGATTTTGTCAGTTTTACCTACCGCTAAATATTTTTATCTCATGAGAATATGTTGATTTGTTTTGAATCTCTGGGAACTGTTTTATTCCATCGTCATAATTCCTGAGCAACACTGTCGGCCATTTTGAAATTTGCTACTCGGCGTATACGATATAAGGTGGGCCATATAGCTCGACTAATCAGATTGTAGATTAGCTCATATACAGCGTGTAGCTATATATTATATTAATATTAATATTATACCTCAAATTCAAATTGTCCAAAAAAAAAACATTATTATTTTGTTGGCTTAGTCACGAGGAGATTTTTTCCCTCTTTACTGTATGTTTGCATGGCTATTCTAGAAGCTCAGAATATTGTTTCGGTGGCTATAATATATCATTTATAGACCTTTCGCTCCAGGAAAACATTTCCCAAAGTGATGGTATTTCCATCGGGCGCGAAATCTTCACAGAATTCCCACCCCCTCCAGAAACCGATTGTACGATAGCCGGGTAGCGCTCTCCACCGGATAGTGATTTTTTCAAGCGTTCTAAAAATGCTTTAAAAGCAATAAATTTCAGCTTTGGAACCAAAAAGAGGACCCTCGATTTAGTGATACTAAGATTTAATCAAAGTTACAGCGAAGAATGGGTGATTTTAGAGCGATTGAAAAAAGCCACTGCATTATATCCGGCCCCTGATCTATAAATGATAAAACTAAAGTTAATCCACTAATTAACAAACCTCTGATTCTCGAACTTCGCAATGGTAAAGGTTTCCTCAATGCCTATATGCATTTTTATCATTGACTCTCGTGCGTAGAGATTTCGAACTTTTACACAATGTAGCTATGAATGTGTTTTTCCAAACGGATTGATTAAGAATTTATAAATTAATTAGCTCGTAGTAGCCACGTAGGTATTTAATACTGCAAAGCATTCGGGCCGTTAATCTTTTTTTTTAATTTATATAGCTCTATGACGATTACCTTGGTGAAAAGTTGAGAAGAAACATCAGTATAACGGTTAAAGACTTCTCAAAGATGAATAAAATGTAAGATAGTGTCTTCCATATTCGTGGACTTATTGTCATAACGTAGATATCATACCCAACAACAGCCATTAACACCACAATCTTTTTATAGAAATACTTTCTCTTAATCAAATGACCACTAACTTTTCGGACTCCGTAGAACGCTGGTGACTGGTAGACGATATGATAGATAAGAAAGATTGAGCAGAGGCAACTGAAGAATATCCAAAGACATTCGAGTTGCTGAGGCGCAGAGTATAGCGTAAAATTTTCACAAAATGTTGTCGTTCGAAACTCCCGGAAGAAACAATCAATTGCCCAGATTGTGAACAAAATTATTCCAATTAGTTGACCAATAAGAAGGATCAGGAATAATAGCCATTTAAATTGAGTACTATAGTTGGGCAAAAAAGATCGCATCTGGGTGACCTTCTTACAACAATCATTGGTTCCTGTTAAAAAAACGAGTCACGCTGTTAAAATGCATTGTTAAGGGGTGGATCCAGCACTAATGCACTATTTTGCATTACAAAACAAATTGGTTATTTT